GTATATATTTTTTTTCTGAAAATATTTCCGATATTTCTCATTGTTTGTTTTTTGTTTTAAACTATACATTATTCCTCATATACTGTCCTTGTCTTCAAAATTTATTGTTCACTATAAGAAACTTTTCTTATAACATAATCCATGTGCATAGAACCGCTAAAAAACCGTCGGTTAACCGGCGGTATACCGATCGTATAACTGTGCGGAATACCGCCGGTTTTCTCCGGTTACGGTCGGTTAACCGCCAGTTTCTTCAATTGATCCGATTTCTAATATTGACTGTATGATTCTTTAATTCTTTCATAGCACAATTAGTTTTTTGCAATATTTGATTATTTTTTTACATTTTATTTTTGAAAAAATAAAAAAAAATACTAAACAAACAGTTTTAGCCTACAGACATAAGAAAAAGAGCTCATATTTGATCGGAAAATTTAGAAAGTTGTGGTATCTGGTAAAAATACTTGATAGCTAGGAATTCAAAACTATTGAATTCCATTAATAGTAATCAACAAATTATATGGATTTCTGTTGAATATTTCGTAAATGGTTTTAATTACCCATGCAAAAAAAAGACTGGAAAAATGAGATTATTAATCGATTATAATGGCACTATTATAACCTGATTTTGATCAGATTTTTCTATATAAAAAAATCAAACTTTTGGGACTTTGATCTTTTCTTAACGGATTCTAATTAATTATAAAAAAAATCAGTTAAAATAAATTAAGAAAAAATTAAAATTCCAAAAGTTTGATTTTTTTTATATATTAAAATCTGATTAAAATCAGATTATAATAGTGCTACTATAATCGATTAATAATCTGATTTTTCCAATCTTTTTTCTTATATGGACATCCACATGGACTTCTTTTTATTTAATTTAGTCTTTCTCTTTTTTACGAGAAAATTGAAATAAGTACATTTAGTTAGCATTAGGATTTCTTTTCCTATTCAAAAGTTAGAATAATATCTTCAAACCGAAACTTTTCCTAAATTATAAGTTGTTATTGGAAGAAAGATCAAAATGGATAGTAATCTGAACCATTTTGATTCAATATCCGATGTTTCTTCAGGAATCTATCTTTTAGTATTAAACCACAACAAGAAAAAATTAAATACTTAAGTTAAATTATTTCGAGGTTCAAAGATGACGTATCTTAAATTGTTTTTGTGTGATTCAGAATTATTCTACATTCCTGAAGAAACACCAGATATTTAATCAAAATGGTTCATATTACTGTCCATTTTGATCTTTCTTCTAATGACAACTTATAATTTAGGGAAAAGTTTCGGTTTGAAAATATTATTCTAATTTTTGAATAAATAAAGAAATTCTAACGTTAACTAAATGTACTTATTTCGATTTTCTCGTGAAAAAAAGAAAGACTAAGGTAAATAAAAAAAGTTCTGTAAATGATAAAAACTATTTACGAAATATTCAACAGAAATCTATATCATTTGTTGATTCCTATTAATAGAATTCAATAGTTTTGAATTCCTAGTTAACAAGTATTTTTACCAGATGCCACGACTTACTAGATTTTTCTATCAAAAATTAACAAGAAAACGTTGGCACACATTGATTAGTAAAGCATGACATGCGTCCATCGACATATTGTTAATCCAAAAGTTGTTGCATGACAGTGTTCAATAAAAATAATATATCCAGCCTGAAAAAACTTAGAAAAAAAGAAATACCCATGGATGTATAGTCCTATCCTTAAAAAAACATATTCTCTAAATCTTTTTCTCTAGATGGAGTTATAAAAAACTACCCAATGATCGTTAAATTTGTAATTTATAAAAAAAATTAATTTCATATATTTCGTACCAAATGTTTTTCTCAGTGGAATTTGTGTATATCTATTAAGCCATATTAGTTTTCATTGGGCCTCATCATATGCATATACTATGAAAAGAAAAAAAATAGTTAGAGTTTTCATCTTTTTTGCATGATATGAAAATAATAATTGACGATAAAATATACGTTCACTTTGTAGTATATCAACATTCTAGAGCAGTAACCATTATACGGAATAACGGAAATAATCTTTTAGTTTATGTAACAAGAAGTTACAGAACGAAGAAGAATAACGATTGATTACTGAATCACTATCGACTATGTTTTTACGAATGATAAAATTTTACAGCGTCATCTGCCATATTCTGTGATTTAGGTTCCTTAAGGATGTATAGTGATGCCTGATAGTTTATTTATCAATAAAAACTAGTATCTTGATCAGAGCGAATATTATAACTATATTTTTATTTGAAATTTCTTAAAGTAAAAAAACCGTCACAAACCGTCGGTTAACCGGCAGTATCTATATAAAAGTGACGACATGGGAAGTGTTCACTTTATATAAATTACACTTCTGCAAAAATTTTGCATCATATAATTAAATACATACGAGCGAATCTGTAGTGGTTATAATATTACTTTTATATAAAACACAGTCTCCTTTCAATATATACGTACTTAAATCTTTATAAGATGATTATGTTTCCTTCTTTAGATATTTTTTAAATTATACTATCTTAACAAAAGCTTCGTTTTTTCTTAATTGTACATATGCTTTTGGCTCATGAGCAGAATTAAGGCTATGAACAACATCGGGGTAGAGGTGATAGAACAATTTATTGTAGAGATGAAAAGTGATAGTAGATACTCTATTTTCTCGAAAACGTTCAGAATATGAAATCGAGCTTCACATTCTAGAAGTGTTCATATGCATACAATTGTAATTTTTTAAGACAATCGAAACTTGAAATTCGAACTTCTTTGGATGTTGTACCTTCAAAGACTAGAATATCCTTTCATATTTCCTGTAACTTATTTTCTATTTTACACTGTAAACTTTCTTCTCTAGTAAGACTACAGTGAAGTGACGTCGAATTCGTTACATGATATCTTTCTTTCTTGTCTCTCATCTTTCTCTGGTGATACGTTCTCCGTTATTTGTTAATGAATATAAGTTCAAAAATTCATTCTTATTCATACATTATCAATGAGTCAAACTGATAGAATATTCTCATGTCAAATTTTATGTGAAAAAAAAGTAGAAGCGACTTATTAGTCTGATTTATTAATCTTTTGATGAAATGTACTGTACTGTTGAAAATTATAAGGGCTAGCACTTTTTTATGTATTAGCTTTTTTTTCACATTCATTTTCTCTTCTTAGGTTGCTCTATCTACCAATGCATACGCATTCAACTATGTTCTATTCGAATGTCAATTCAGAATTTGTCTTACAATTATTTATTTTCTTAAAAAATACTAAAATAAAAAAGATATTTTTTTTCACCTGTCTATGTGAAAGAATATCTGAAAAAATCTGATGATAATAAACTTTTTGTCATTATAAATCTTTTCAAATTGCACTATTATATTCCAATTTAACAATTGAATCAGATTTTAAATTTATTGATTAAGTTTCGATAATAATAGTGCAATTTGAATAGATTTCTAATCACAAAAAAATCTATTATAACCAGTTTTTTTTCGATATTCTTTCACGGGGCAGGTCAAAAAAACGTTTTTTTGTTCTAGTATTTTTTGTGAAAATAAATAATTCTAAGGTAAATTTTGAATTGATATTCGAATAGAGCATAGTTGGATGCGTATGTATTGATAGGTAGAGCAACTTAAGAAGAGTAAATAAATGTGAAAAAAAAAAGATAATACATAAAAAAAGGTACTTGTTCTTATGATTGTGAGCAGTACTGTATATATAGGATACAGAAACATCCGGTGAATATTTTGATATTATTTATTGTTTACAACGTTTCTAAAAGATGTTTCATTTCTTAGAATTTACAGAATTCTTAATTTACACCGAATCAACTCCGTAATTTTATCTTCCCCTGCGCATTGTCCTAATGCATTCCTTACGGATGATGTCAACAGAATGAAATAAATATTTGGTTTTTTTTTTATGCATATAATTGTACATGCAAGTATGCAATACGTTGTTCGTGACGTATGTGCTCGATTAATAGGATCTATTGTAATATGCATCACTATGTAGATGTGATGACTGCATATAGTCGATCATGCGAGGAAAGCCTAAATCAAAGTATGTAGCGAGTGAGAGAAAGACTACAGCCATGCGTGCTTTTGTTTTGACCATAAATATATAAGAAAATATGATGAGAAGCGTAGCTCGATAATAGACTTCATTCGATAAGTCATGCCTATGAATACAAAGTAGTGTCGAATCAGGGCTGCTCGAATTTCTCTTTCTTTCTCATACCTGAATAGTACGTCGATGCAGTATAATTTTTTTTACTAGATGTAGTCCATAAGGAGAGCTAGTAAATATCCATCTTTTGAGTCCTACATCGGGACAGAAGCGACATGTTTCGAGTATTCTCTTGACATCATATACCTCAATATATTTCCTTCAGATCTTGTTCCCATAATTCGATTCTCGGATAGAAGTTTGTTATGAATTCTTCAAATTCTTAAGAATTTACAATGTCGACATTCAATGCGGCATTTATTTCAGAATCAATGTTAGATTGACAACTTTATAAAACTTATTGACAACAGATATTGAACTGAAAAAGTAGAAGACTGGCAAAAGGCCAAACGTCGTTTGAAAGTATCTGCTGTACTGATATGAATTCACGCACATAATTAGATGAATCGTACGCAGTGCTTACGTGTATCACTGCAAGAGAAGCTATCAAATGAAACAGCACCCACTTTCTTTTCTTCTCTTTCGATGATTGTTCCACTAGTGTGAGTTTTCATTTGTGCTTGAGATTCGGTGTACCATAACATTTTTTTTCTTTCACTCACTTGATTCTTTTTCTAATTGATATTGTTGTTTTTTTCATTACATTTGCTACTTCTACTAGTCACAACCTCCGAATTTGAATTTTTGTCACTTATTAGATCATAATATGTTCCCTCCACATATTCAGTGGCATTGTTATCAATGTCAATCTGAAATAGTTGATCGTGGCAGATATTGCCAGAACTGTCATTCGATGTTAGTTTGGGTGTGTTCTGGTTCTGGTAAACATGGTTTATATACGAATTATTATCGACATCGTCTTCATTGTCAGTATTGCAGACCAGCACTCAAAGAAAAGAGAGAGATCCAATATCGTACTTTAGATGATAGTAAGTAATATCATTTCATGCAGTTTACAGTAATCTTGCATACAGTTATCAGTTAGCGCGAGGGTCAACTATGGATTGATCACTGATGCACTCTTTTTTTTCTATGTTGCAGCGCAGCATCCATGGTCAGAGTGGAGTCGCAACAAGCAATGCTGCATACAACATACGGGTCATGATATTGAACAAATACGACAATTATTTGTCATTTGTGAAAAATCACTAATAAATTACTGTACTCGTAGAAAGCAGCAATCTACAATTGATACAAACGTACCCTATTTGTCTCCTATGAACTTGCTTGTTGTAACATTGTGGTTCTTAAAAGATTATCATTCAGGAGATTATATTGCTATGAAGCTGAAACTGGGTAAATCAACGGTGAATTACTTTTTATTTGAGGTTATTGACATTTTATACTCCTGCATATATCCAATCTTTGTCTCATCCCCAGTGAGCATAGCTAGCAGAAGTACCAGTCNATGTATTTTCGATTTTCGAGTATGCCGATATGAATAAACGATAAAGTCTCAGAAGAGACGAGAGAAAAGAATAAAGGAAAGAAGAAAAACAAAGAAAAGATAACGAAAGAAATGCATATTGGAGACACTGTGAACGTCTGTAACCGATACACATGTTAGGCAAACTAGTTTTATCAGAATTTTGTTATTATGATGTCAAGCGAAGTACGATCAAATAGCATAGAAAGATAGAGCATTTTCCGCTCTATCATCCTATGTAAAAAGAATTTTTTATCAACCCTAAAATATGGCAAAAAGATGTCGTTGCCACTACTTTTGGATACCCCCTTAGTATATGAACTACTTTTTGATTCCATTTCTGAAGGATTAAGTAAAAGCATGGCTTATACATTTGCCGCAAAATAGATAGATTAAAGGAATCTCTTTGTGAATAACGCGAACAGCTAAATCGTCTTACGCATTTTAATCTGGCAGGCATTGCGAGAAGAGTTTTTTTTAGTTTTTCCGAATGATTGGTATTCGTACTCGAGAAAGTCTGTACTTGCCCAGCTCTGGATCTAAGTAAAGAGTCAGCTACATTTGTCTGGCTTCAATTACTTAAAAGTTTAATAGCAAAATTAACAACTGACAATGAAGAAATGGCAATGAATGACGTCCAACATCTCTATCAAGTATTATGAATCGAGCACTAAGATGATAAGATATCGGTTTATTGTATAAATCTCGACATTTTATTCGAGATTTATCACAACCGTTAACTGAATTACGACAAAAGTTACCAGCAACATTACGCGTCTATCGTGGAGCTGTCTTGCCTAGAGAAAGTTTTAATAAACTGAAACATATTGTTCGACAGCGAACTTTCGTATCAACATTTGGATACTTATCGACTTCAAAAAATCTTGAAGTTGCTAAATTATTTGCTAGTAATGAAGCGAGTGTCGCCGATCAGAATGGTGATGTTTGAAAATTGATATAGACAATGATACTAATGTTATAGCTGCTGATGTTAGTCAAAATAGTGAATTTCCTGAAGAAGAAGAAGTTTTGTTCGATATAGATTCTACATTTGAAATTTTAAACATGAATGTTGATGAAGAAAACCGATTATACACAATTTGTATGCGAACATCAACATATGGTAGTGAATTAGCAAGTGAATATCTACGCTATAATGAAAAAGTATTAGATCAACTGACATGAGTGTTGAAATTCTATTTAGACGTCTTATTGCAGATATGAACGAATGTGGCAAGTCAATTAACTACTTTGAAATATTAGTTGATAAAGAGAATATAGATCAGATTAATGTTCGAATCAATTTGAGACGAGCGTATGCTCTTAAAGGTGACTATGATAATGCTTACAAATATTATTATAATACAAGAGATTTAGAAACAAATGAAAACTCGCTAAAAGTGGCTGAAATAATACATAATCTTGGCTGGTTAGATAGTATTCTTGGAGATTACAATTCAGCCATTGAAAAATATCGAAGAGATCTTTGAAATTGTATAATGGAAGTCAGAGTTCAGGTTACTGGTAAATTAAGGGTGATTTACACACGAATATTGCTTTGGCACAAACGACACTCGATCACTTTGATGAAGCGAAACAAGAATTGGATAAATCTTATGAATATATGATAAAAGCTCAGCTTCCAGCTGATCATCCAGATTGTTCACAACGTCAAATGAACCTTGGAAGGATCTGTCAACACCTGGAACAGTATGATAAAGCCTGTCATTATTATAAAACAGCCTTAGAAATGTGAAAGCATGCTCTACTGTCTGAACGTATGGATTTAGGAAAAATATTGTACAACTTAGGCAGTGTTACAGGCAAAGCAGGCATCGATTACGAAAAAGCGTTGAGTTATTTACGTGAAACGTTGGGCATAAAAATGAAAATGCTGTCGGCGAAGAACATTCGGCAACAGCTCTTGTCTGGAGTGATATAGCAAATGTGTACGAATGTAGGGACGAGCATGAACAGGCTTTAAAATACCAATTAAAAGTTTTAGGACTCTTTCAAAAGATCTACTACAATAAAGATCATGAAGACATAGCACGAGTTTTAAATAATATTGGTGAATGATATCACAGAATGAAGGACTATAAACAGGCGTTTCTTTATTTAAACAGAGCGTTGAAAATGCGTATCAAGGTACTTGGAGATGATCATTCTGAAACTGGCACGGCACGTATTAATTTAGCAGAGACATACAGAGACACGAATGATTATGAAAAAGCGATGCAACATGCGCAAAAGAGTATGAAAATATGGAGAGAGAAATTATTGCCTTCCGCGACCTATGTGACTGAAGGTGAAGCACTCTTGGTGGAGCTGAATAGACTTATTTCGCAGCGTGATTCAATTAGTAAAAAGACAGGTAAAATATAGCGGCCTAAATAGGGTGAAACACCTTCGGCGCAACATTCCTGCCTTTTTTTAATTTTAAACTTAACATTATATTTGCTTATCTTGTTGTTCGTCTTATCGCTTTCATATCTCAATTTCGTGAAGCACCACGTTTTTCATATGGGTGTGGGTGTGATGTGAATGTGCTCTTGTAATGACACTCAAATGAAATTTGATATCGGATATTGAGCAGTATTCGAGATTCATTGTGAACTTTCCTTTCCGGAGAAAAATCATTTGTAGCTTGCATTATTTGGACAATTATCACTCGAATTATTTTATATCTTCCAACTTTGAATGTCATAATAGTTATATTAGAAGTACTCGATATTCTATGAAGAATTGTATGACCTAAACGATCAACTTAAAGTATTGTGCAAATTCTCATAATTTGATTCCAATTAAGGATATTCATAAGTGGTGATAAAAATATTCACAGGATCCATTTTTTTCTGTAGCAACTAGATTTCTATTTGGATCTTGGTTTCTTTATTCAGGAAAAAAAAAGAAAAATGAAATGGCATTATGACTAACTAAAATCATTTCCGAAAATGTTGCTATATAAAAAACTTCTGAAAGTTTAAAATTTGTTGAATATCGCTTTGGTGTCTACTTGGTCATGAATATCATGAAAATGAAATCCCTGACTCGTGTATTAAAAAAATACGAAAATTCATACAACAGATCAAGACAATCGAAATAACCGAATATAGGATAAAAGATCTCGTTGCTGAAATTCATTAGATGAGTAATAATAGCCATGTTCAAGTTAGGCAGAATTAAATGAAAACTACACGTGACTAGATGCATACATATGCCCGACAAGAAAATTTGTCGTTATCTTTCATCTTTGTTCTTGCTCCATGGAATTGGACTTCCTGAATAGTTTGATAATGAAACAAACTTGCCTAATAGTTTGGTAATGACAAAGATTTGATAGCTTGAAGAAAATGAAGGAGTATTTCGTCACTATCAAGAATGATAGAAATAACAGTCACTTTCTCTCTTTCATAATACTTGTAGCCACTTTGTTATTCTGTACATTAAAAAAATCCTATATTTTCTTTTTCTATAATGTTGTAACCAAAGACAAGAGAAAAACGAAAAAAAAAAGAATGAAAAATATCATGAAAGAAATACTAATAATACAACAGCGAATTCGGTGTTCTTCGCGAATTCACTTGGTGGGATATTGTGCTCAATTTTCATCGTTTCACACCAATATTGAATATCTTTCAATGTAATTTCGTACCAAGCATTAAAAATATTGTTTATAAAGCTCCGTAATTATTTCATTATCTGATCCTTGATTTAAACAGTTGGAAATTGCTTTTTGTCAAAGTATAAATCCGTTTAATACAATAGTTGAATCTTTACCATAGGATAATTGTGACGTTCTAGGCTGAGAGCGTTATTACATCGCGTTTTATTTTCTCTGGCTTTTCCTCGTCAACATATCTCTTGTCTTTCATCCTTTTATAATAAAGATTAGCTTGTTGCTTATTCTGTTGATATGAATACATATATCATCTTCCTTAATTATCTTTCCTGTTATTCTCATCTTTCTACTGTTATGTCTATCTTTTCTCTTGTTGTATCTTTTCCTTCTCTCTCTTTCTTGGTTGCGTATATAAACGCATGTTGTGGATGTAAACGAGGCGATTCTTGATAAGAAGAAGCCAAATAAAGCATAATTCCATCCATGCAAGCATCTCTTCTATCTAAAATCGTCACAATAATATTCGAAGTTTCGAAGAAAATTTTTTCATCGGATTCATTGCATGAATATTCGTTACGTTAAAATAATGTAGCAATGGAAATCATTGTTCATTCTTCTCGACTTCATCGACATATCTTCGAATGTGCGTGTGGTTTCGAGTTTCATGCACACGATCCTAGCTCACCCTTTACATTATTCATAATGAGCACTTTAGTCCATTCCAACGAATTAAAATAAGACTAACCGATACTTCATTTGTGTGTTGCATCTTGAAAATATTTTTGATAATATAGCTACGCTGAGTAAGCCAGTAGAGACAGTTGTTAACGCTTACTTGAAATAAAGTGGTCATTTCTAGAAAAAATTGGTTTTTCACCTCGAAAATCCAGTATCAAACTTTTTCAAAATCGTACTTTGCATTTCTTAAGAACGAAATTTTTCAAAAAGCCTCAAGCGCATAATATTCTACAAAGAATAAAATTTTACAACCAACTGGAAAGTCGACATAGATCACAGAGTCGGATCCGGAGAAGAAAAACTCAAATATGGTATTAACATTACTTACCTATTACCCAACACTTTCAAACTATGTAAAGACTCCCAGCGTTAGGATAAAATTGCCACTGTGATAGTTATATGGTGCTGTTACCTTTGAATCAACATTTTTATTTGTATGTGTCAGCCGGAGAAGAATTCTACCTCACAAGGCAATTCTCTCAATATTTTTTGTATTCAAGATACACACGCCCTTTTCTTTTCTTTTTTTACATGTCTTTTCTCCTTCGTCGGAAAAAAACGTGAGTTACATTTCATTTTGTTTTGTCTTTTATTTGCACAACTCGTCACTTTCCATAGCGTTCCGTTCTTAAGAATCAGCAAAACAAATATTTCATCGAATTACGAGTAGGAAATTTTTATATAGAAATAGTTGAGTCTATTGAAGTCATTCATCATCTGTTATGTGGATGAGCCATTTGTCTTAACTTAAAGTCAAGTTAAAATTTGTTACTTGACCTTTAAGTGACGTTCGATGAGAAAACCAAGGATCACCTCAGTATACGATGCACGAGTCAAAATATTAATTTTTGTTTTTTTATCTGCGTTCGATAGGTCATCGCCTGAAGCTGTCAAACCTAAATTTTTAGTACATTTGAATGCAATAAAGTTAGCTAATATCGGCTCTTGAGTACTACTAACCTACTATTAAGCGATGAGTCAAAAATCGCCCCATAAATGTTTATTAGGGTTATGGCTCAATAAGTCAGAGAATTTTTTGCATGGACTATATTAGAAGAGAGAACATCGATATCTGAAAAAAACGATCTGTTTAATTTATTACACATCATGTATTTATTGGGATTTTGTAGTGCAGCATGAGTGAGAAAGGTCACAATTTAATAATCTATAATGATCCGTGTTTGATAATACATCTGTTGCCTTTTCCTTTTAAATCAGAAGATACCAAGCTGAATTTTTAATGAAGAAGAAAAACTTGAAAAGCTTGCTTTTATGACAATGACAAAATCGAGTCTGTGACCATTTGCTCATGAAGATACTTTAATTACACTCAGTTTATTTTCTAGCACATAAATGTAAAAAAAACATAAATGTACATGGTGAGTGAAAATTCTAAGTGCTTTCAAAATATATAAATAATTTTTCTAATAGCTTCTTTTATAGTAATGATACATGTAAAATAAAGACAGCAATTATTATTTTTTTGGACGTTTATATCTGAAGAAATTTGCTTGCAGAAATCATACTATGTTTTGGTGATTTTTCACCTTTTTCTAATCAAAAGAGAGGCTATATCTGCTCGAATTGACATTGAAAGAAAATAAATTGTGAAAGATTTTTTCCTTGACTAAGAACATAACTGATTCAAATTAAACAAAGTTGGGAAAGTTGTTGATGACTTTTCATTCATTCATTCATGCCTTACCCAATCATTGTCACACAATTTATTGTCAGCTTATGTGATCCTTAATAAAAATATGGGAAAAAGTTTCAGACAATATTTTGGTGTCAAAATGAACAAAACATAAGTGTTGTTTGGAAAATCATCGCATATTTTGAATTACTTTCAGTTTTTGCCATAGATAAGTTATATTTTCAGAGATATTTTCCATGTGACAGAAAGAAAATAAGGTTATATTTATTGAAAACATACTTATCCTTAGTAGAAAAATCTGTATACTGAATTCAGATATATTTTCATTGAATTCTAACTTTTGCCGACATAAATCAATTCATTTCAAAAGACTTTTTTCGTTCTCAAAATGAATTTATCAGATGTTCAACTTTCTCGAATTTGATCGAGATTTGTGTAATAATTAAGCCATAAGTATATGCATCGATTGAAGGCCGATGTAATCTTGTTTCTACGTTTCTATTACACATAAGTTGAGTCATATTTGAGGCAATTTAACGAAATTTCATTCGAACCATAAACGAAGAATATTCAGTAAATCACTTAACATTATTTCTGCATAAATATTCATATGAATTAATTTTAGATCGAAATTATTCGAGATATTCTCATCATTAGGTTACATAGTAAATTCGACTGGTTTTCTTCTAAGAGAAATGACGACAGTAAATGAATCAAATTTATGTTCAATTTGCAACAAACCTTCCGTTAAATACTTTTGCATTGGATGTAAAAAATACTTTTGTCCGAAGGATTTCAAAGAACATAAACAACAACTGTCAATGAAATTTGATAATGAAATAGTTAGATCACACGATGAACTTCTTGATCAAATACAAAAATTAGAAAAATCAAATTATTTGTCATTGGATCATTTTGCTCAAATTGAACAATGAAAAAAAACGACAACCCTAGTCGAACATCTTGTAAGCAAGATCTTGAAATCTTGGGTCCGATAAGCAAGATCTTGACAAGATCATGAAAAGATAATTTGTATGTGAATAGCTTGCGCGCATCGGATACATCTGTGTCTAAGATCTTGTCAAGATCATGAGAAAGATATTGTTTACTGTTATCTTGTCACAAGATCTTGAGTAAAAGAACGATATCGTTAGTGTTTANTCGAAAGAAATTTAATTTGTTTCATTCAATTTTAGATAGGAGATCTATGGCGCAATCATATACTTCCAAGCCATTGCTCATCCGGATTTTCTCGTGCTGGAATTTTTCCTTACGATTCTCGGGCAGTTTTCAAAGAGAAGCTCTTCGAACCACCAGCTTTATCATCATCTGACGCTCCATCTAACTTTATCGATGATATTGGCTTAAGTAATCGCTCGGTTCTTCGTCCAACTCGATCTTTATCTTGTACAGCATTGTCAACTGATGGTAAGCGAGATGACGTTCGAAGGATCTTTGTTTGATTGTCCTCTTTTAGCATTAGCTGCTACTACTAATCCTCTTCAACAGCCAAATCTTATTTCTTCATTCGCAATGACTGATGATGCTTTGACAACAACTAATGATGCTTTGACAACAGCTGATGATATTTCTTCAAGTTTGTTTACGATCTTACGATTATAGTTGGTGCAAAAGTTCAGTTTTTTTATTTTCAGATTTACCTATATCTTTATCTTCGAATGACTTCCGTGATTTGTCATCGTCTATGGTACAATCGACTAAGTCTAAAAGTAAAGAAGGTTCACCTAATACTATTGTATTTCACGATTACGTCTTCAGATCGCTCATTTACATCGTCGATTTTAGAAGAAGTCAATCAGATATTATATTCACAACCAGTTGATCCATGTGGCAGTAAGTATCTTGGTAATGAATTCTTCACCTAATCTTCATTTGATTTATCATTATAGATAGTCTTTCACCAATTGATGGAGGGGTCCACGAAAAATTTATTTTATCCCGGTTTACTTTTTCCAAGTGATATTTGGGCCTTTAGCTCCTTTAGCTCCCTTTACTCCTTTAGCTTCCTTCACCCCTTTCGCTTCCTTTACTCTTTTAGCCTCCTTTATCTTCTTTATCTTCTTTATCTTTTTTATCTCCTTTATCTCCCTTAGCTCCCTTAGCTCCTTTAGCTCCTTTATCTCCCTTATCTCCCTTAGCTCCCTTTACTCCCTTAGCTCCCTTAGCTCCCTTAACTCCTTTAACTCCCTTAGCCCCCTTAGCTCCCTTAGCTCCTTTAGCTCCTTTAGCTCCCTTTACTCCCTTAGCTCCTTTAACTCCCTTAGCTACCTTTACTACGTTTTACATAATTCATTAGTGTTACAAATAGTAGAATAGTGTTTGAGTGATGCAATAAAATATTTTGGCTTTGGAACAAGCCCTTAATCTAATTTTTTTTCAGACGAAATTTTGGAGCGTTTAAAATTCAGAAGATGAAACAAAAATAAGAAAATCAGACCGATTATATTCGTAGAACCATTTTTACCATTACAATATTTTCTATTCGTTCCAATTTAGTTGCAAATACATCATGATTTACTTTAGTAGTCGTTAGATAAGCAAAAATAAAATAGATCAATTTGAGCGTAAATTGCTCTTCTAAATACAGTAATAAAAGCAAAGGCTCTGCACAGTACTCATAGTCAGTATCAGAGTTTCAAAGAAATTCCTTTCATCACAGGTCAAATAGAAAAGTTTGTTTGAAATGATTTTCAATAGCAGACAAAATAGTATTAAAGTATCTTCACTACAGTTTCCAAAGAAATCAACAAAAATTTTATTAACAAAATTTATAGTGTTAAATATTGTTAGATTTCTGTTTAAAAACTAAGGATACACATAAGATACAAGAAGTAAACGCAGCTAAAGGAGCTAAAGGAGCTAAAGGAGCTAAGGGAGCTAAAGGAGCTAAAGGAGCTAGGGAGCTCAGGGAGCTAAAGGAGCTAAGGGAGCTAAAGGAGCTAAAGGAGCTAAGGGAGCTAAAGGCGCTAAGGAAGCTAAAGGAGCTAAGGGAGCTAAAGGAGTTAAGGGAGCTAAGGAAGCTAAGGGAGCTAAAGGAGCTAAAGGAGCTAAGGAAGCTAAGGGAGCTAAAGGAGTTAAAGGAGCTAAGGGAATAAAAGGAGCAAAAGCTCACATATAACATAGAAAAAATTAAACCGGGATAAAATAAATTTTTCGTGGACCTATGTTTCAAAGGCATGTTGTTTTGAAGTAAGTATATAACAATAACAAAAAAGAAATGATTCTATCAAAAGTTTTTTTTTCTCTATTAGATGAAACAAAAAGATAAATTTTTCTCATCATTATACATTAAATCTGAATATGAAAAGTATGAAAATCTTCGTGGAGTTTTTGATTCTACGTTTATTGGTATGATGATAAAAACAGGTAAATAATTATTTTTTTGTTCAAGTTCTATTTAATAATAAATATATTTATTTGTTAAAGGATTAATCGTATCATCGGAACAATGGTCATCATTATTATATGGTGATGCAAAATATGAAGTAGCAATGGAAATTATAATTAACAAATTTTCAACATCTGATATATATACCAAATCCATTGAAAAACTTGTACAAATTTTATACCAAGTTGGTGTTGAACAAGAAAATTTATTAAAGTTTCAAACACATTTAAAATTTTTACCAACAATTCATTTAAATATAAATAATGATAATGAAGATAATCGTCCATTATGATTAAAAATTGCATTGGCAATTCAGACATTTCGTGAAGGCTTAAAATGTTTACCTTATTTTAATCAGTAAAAAGCATAAACAAATCTTTATAATGATGATCAATAAAATGATGTATTATCAATTAAAGGTATATGATTAACATTATATTCATGATTAATATATTGTTTTATGTTTAGGTGGACGTAGCACAACATAATCAGGTCAAACAAATTTTATTAATAGTTTTTTTTTTTTTTTGTTGGCAGCGACTTTGTGTTACCAAGGAATAAGGATAACCTTATTCTTATTCTTTTTTTTTTATTGTATTATATTTTTTTCTTTGACAACCATGCCAATACCAAAGTTTGCTCGTCAACTTTTCTTTGTCTTTTTTTCTTTATGTGCATATTTTAAAAGAGTCGTCAATAAAGAAACAACCATAATTTCATGATTTTTTTTTCTCTTGTTCGGGTTCTTTTCCTTGTTCATCTAAGTCAATAAAATATACGTAAAAAATGAAATAAATCAAGAGCATAGAATGTTTTTTTATTTAAACTTAATATAATCAAATAGGATGTAATGCAACAATATCAATATGCATGTAGATCAATAATTGATTCATATTTTAGTCTAATATTTTTTTTATAACATTGATATTTATAGAAAAAAATTAAATAAATAAATAATTTATTTGTTATTTTTATTAATAGTAATAAGTAGTTTCTCAATGTAAGTCACTCATGAATCTCAATTGATATATAAATAATTTGATCAATAACATAAATAAGTTCTGGCGATGGAATTATAACAAGCAAAAATCAATGTATATTTGCTATTTTAAAAAAGAACAAAAGAAAAAGAAACAACAAAATACATTACATGACATATTTTATTTCATCACCTATTTCATCTGTTGTACATGACAACAAAATAAAGAATTAAAACAAAGAAAATACATATTAGGCAAAAAAAATAAATCGATTATTGATCTAAATGCGCATTGATATTGTTGCATGACATTTTGTTTGATTATATTAAGAGTAAAGTTGTATGTAATAAAAAAAAGAAGACAAAAAAAGGATAAAATTATATCTTCTTTTTGTTTTATTTTCATATTCATTATATTGATTGAAATTGAAAGAAATGTTTCGCATATATATATATATATAGGGTGTCCAGTAAGTAACTCCACAAAGAAAAAGTTGAATATCTTCATTACAACTCGACCAAACGGGCTCATTTTTTTACCAAGGATAGAGGCATGTTCACATTTCAAATCCNTCGAGCAGTTCATCATCAGTTCCTTATAATTATTCTAAAATGTGACTTGATTCATCCTCGTTTCCATTTCTCTGATTCGTCTTTTTTATTCCACTTTTTTTTATTTTAATTTTTATGCTCGCGAATTGTAATGCGGAGGCATGACGAGCGTTTATATTTACAAATTAATAGTCCAAACCACATCAATGAAATTAATTCGGCATTCTTTGGAGTCATTTTGATTCAAGCACATTGATCTATTATTATTTAAATTTATCTTAATTTTCAACTTGGTCAATTACTAAACAGCAAAAGTTGAAGCTATCAGATTGAGCTTATCTTTTCGTCAAGAGATAGGTTGATCTGTTTTTTCGATTGATTTAAATACACTTACACCTAATCACAGATTCATCGAGTTTCGGTCTGCGCGACGAGATATCAATTCAACCAATCTGAGCTTATAGAAGTATTTAGTGTTCGGCGAGAAGAAACGTATTCAACTAATATTTTCGATTATATTTTTTATATAAAATGCTGACAAACCTTTTTGAGTGATTCTTCACTTTTATTCGGTTCTACATAAATCATCAAAGAAACATCTATGTAAAATCTCAATGAAAAAATAAGCATCATAGATTATTACTCATTGAATTCTTTATAATACATAGGTTTTCATATGACATTTATTTTCTATTACTAATATGCAATGAACTATTGATGGAATAGTTAGAAAAGGTCGTTCAAGTCCTCAAAACTTTTTATATAGTTCTTCTAAGCACACAGATGATAACTACTGATATTCGACTTTGTCCTGGTTCCACTATTCATTTCAATATATTTTTTCTAATAATCAAACTACTTTTCATTCTGATGTTCTTATAAGCATAAATCTACTATTTAGAATACCAAAAATTATAGCAGACAAAATTATGGAGATTTCTCTGGATGCCATGCATTGTTTCGTCACTCACACCCATAAACTCTCTAATACTCTCATGGTATCGATATCGATATTTTTGTACACAAGAATATATTTTTAGAAACACTTTAAGTGGCTAGAAATGATCTCAAAAACCTCTGAGAAAGCTTGGGCGAGGTTATGGTTTCCAGTTTTAGAAAAGATGAAGGCAAGATTCACATCTACAACTTCACTAAAGTAGAAGGACGACTTTCATACACAGGTTCTCAAATATAATAGCTTATTAAAATTCATGCAGAGCATATGCTAAAAAATACATTAAAAAACAGATAGCAACAGATACATGGATCTGATCTGGGAAGGTCTCATGTAGTTAAAAATGCAGCATTAATAGCCTACCCTCACAATGATGCATTCATATTCATATCGTTATACGTATTTTTTGTAGTAATTCTAAATAAAATTTTGTATCCTTGTGTAAGCGCTTTGAGGTGTAACAATAAATAGGTAAAATAAAAAAATATAATAAGAACTTTCTATCAATTATTTTTATTGCTTTCTTGAATATACCTTTTTCATTTAATATATTCAATGAAGATATGAAATTGGCTTCCTTTCTTTCTAGAGACATACGTACATAGTGTTGATACATTAGTATTGTTATATAATAACAATTCTTATTTCACTTATATAACTTTAATTGCATCATGAATCTTTTCAAGATTCTTTTCTATATATTAGCGAAAAAAAAGAAAATCTTCTATGAACTAAATTTCATTTGCTGTTTTTTTTTTAATATTTATTCAACAATAAAGTTAAAGCATTGTAAAACGTGTTATATTGCATTTACAAGAAATGCAGTGCATTTATCTACGTTCTCGTCCAAATAAAACGAGTTCCGCAGATTCAAATTTTGAAAACGATACGAAATACATGTAGTTTTACGAGCGAATTAAATATCAGTCAATCTTCTAGTGCTTTTTTATGACATTGGTCGGTGGACAGCCACAAAGATGGGTTTGATCAATCATTATCAAATAAAGAAATGGAATGATTATTGCAACTAATTTGAATTTCATCTTTATTTCTCACTTTTGATCTTTTATGATCATTCGTAGACACAAACATGAACGAAAACAAAGAGTAAATCAAATTCAATTTTACACAGATAATTCATCTTGATTACTTAATATGATAAAACATTGAAAAACGATGCAAAGTTAAGTGTATTCGCACCCTGGCTTTTCAGTATTTTTGATCGCTCACTTCGTGATATTCTCTGCTTTAGAGTTCAAATTAAATTGGTCTTCCATTAGAGCTTAAAGGCTCCTATAAAATCATCTAGATGAAGTTTTGTTCTCTTTACATTGTCACTTAAACAATCTTTCTTATAATAAATAAGAAAAGAAAAATGTCTAAAAACTATGCTTTGGGAGTAATTTTTACGGAATATCCAATGAATTCTTTCATCCATGATGACTCGCTTTCGAAGTGATATTATTTAAAAAACTACTTCGGTTAGAAATCAGAAAACTTTTGTTACGTTAGTTGAGAGAATGCTGTCGTGTCTTACAGCACAACTAAATAAATGAGTGTTGACCAAACAACTTTGCTCTTTAGATTTTCTTTCTTTGCAAAATAACTGAAGTCCATCCGACGTGTTGTCGTTGAGAAATAATTTCTGAGATTATACAAAAAACTTGTGTAGCGTATATGTATTTGAATATTTTGTATTATATATTGCAATCGGCTACCTGTTTGTCGTTACTTAGTGTGTTACTCTAATAAAGACCTTAACTTGTCTAAAATTTATGCGAAAACGACCGAAAGATAGAATTCAAAACACTTGTGTTTGTCATTCGTGTTTGTTATTTAAGGCCTTCCTCCCTTAAAAATGGATCTCAGCTTAGGAGCATCCAAATTGCATGAAACTCTCAGGATATGTTGGGACTGGTGAGTGATGACTGTAGTAAAATTTTTAAACCTGTAGCACGATATTTAACAGAGATATACACCAAACAAAAGCCAAAAATAGCTTTATAGTACCTCCAAGTTTTCTCTGTGAGACTTCATTCCAGACATTTAACTTTTTTCTGTTTGAAAGAGCATATCAGAATGCAGCGCCTCTCGTGGCCCTTTTTTTAAAGTCTTACTTTTGGAGGGGAAAAGACAGTTAAAGTTCAACAACTAAAAAAAAACCTCTCTAAAAATTGCGCTTTTTCGATAAAGGTGTTATCTTTTATGATAATAAAAAAGCTTATTTTAAAAAAAGGGCCACGAGAGTCGCTAGCCCTGAACACCAGCTTTCAGACAAAAAGATAATTGACTTTACCTCTTACTGTGGTAGACTTTTGCTGGAGATACGTTGTTGAATCCATGTTCTGAAGAAAAAGAAAAATGATTTTCAATTTTTTGTAAAAACAGCTTGTTTTTCAAATGGGGGATGACAAAAACTCTCGAAAGTTTTTGAAAAAAATAAGTGCCGAGTAAAAGATTTTGTCATGTATGAAAGAGCAGATGACGGACTATTTTTCTATGAATTAATCTCAATTTCGATCATTTTGACGAAAAATGACTTTTTTGAGGGAGGGGGCCTTAATATCGATACTCATTAAATGTATTATTTTCTTGTTTTGCTTCTACCGTAAACTAGATAAAAGAGGCAAAACAAGATAAGACGAAGAATCAATCGTTTCTGATAGTGTTCTCATTATATTTGTTATATTAGCTAATTATATATATTCAAAGCAAGCTTTACTATAAATATACACTCTTATTGAAATTAGTCTGTTAGAGCTGTTAAAATCTCATTAAAAAATTATGTTAAGTCGTAATAATCGAACATGGATGACAGGAAAGACGAGTTGGATTATCGAATCAACAAATAGTCGAGAACTCAGCTATTTTTTTTTTTGTTTTTTTCTGCTCCGAAAAATGCGTTTCGCTGTAACAGTTTTTTCAGTAACATCGAAATATATTATTGCTGGCCGGTTTCGCACGCTTCGGAAAAACGTTCTTATCGCAGATATTTACGCCATGAGCAAAGACATAGTACATTCGAAAATGTTTCCCATTCATTTTTCCTTTCTAAGTACTTTCTTATGCAGATAAATACAGTTTATTGATTTTTTCTCTCCATCTCTTTCTATTCGCCAAAAACAAAAGGTGAAATTAATGCTTTGAATGTATGAACAAATATTTTAGATGGCATTTGACAATGAATCGGGCGTAATTGGTTCTCTCGTCCATAATACAGCTGAGGAAGCTTAGCATTCCATTGATTCTGATCATACAGACCAAAAATATACGGAATACCTACAATATTCTGATGATAATTTCGATGAAATTGTTGATGATCATTTTCAACGAGGTTTCTATACTTCGTTTTTTTCTATCTGTTTGAGTTCTTGGTTATTTAGATGAAATATTTACGATTGAACATATACATTGTCGTACTGGAGAAGAATTTATCTCCAATGTTCCAGTTCATATTAACTCAATTGTGTCTGAACGTACTGACGAACATTCTGGAGCATTTCTTGATCCACATTTGTAGATTTAACTAAATAACAGTTAAAATTATTAAATTCAAGATTCTGTATAACAGTTCAGCATGGGTGTTATGAATGGCCTACTTCAAAACGTTATCAACATTTTCAAGTTTTACGTCAAACATTGTTGAATTTTTCGGATATGGAAAGGAGAAAATCAAACAATGATTTAGACATGTATGTACGAAATGAAATAATTAGAAGACAAAATGTATTTTAAATATCTTTTATGCAAAAAAATTCGAGATGTTTATCGAAGTGTTCTCTGATGAAGTTGGGTACCCAATAGCATATAAGATGCGGAGGATGATTTCAAACACCAAATCACTGGAATTAGTATATTATTAACTTTGAAAAGATATCTTTACAAAAACAAAAGTACACTCTGAAAACTGTTGGAGTTATGTATCATCCCTGTGCAAACACATTTTAGTTTGTTCTGATGCAATAGAAAATAAATCGACTGCAATCAGCATACGCTCATCATCACATTCCTACGAGTCGGATTCGATCACTAATATGACAATTTTTTTTTATTAGTATAGTAGTGCGTCTTCATAAAAAGATGTTATATATATTCTGAAAGCGCTTGAAATTTTTTATCTTCCTATGTATGTATCTACTAGCTTGCAATTATTTGTTGTTCGAAACAATTAATTATATGATCTGACAATAGTTTTCATTGCAGATCATTCTGAACTTTTAAAACAAAACGAAAGAAATAGTTAAAAAGATTAAATTTTTTTATTATCAAATAACAAAAAAACTTGAATACTTCGTTCTTGTCAGCAGACGATTCCTTTGTCATATTCAAATTATTTTTTGATCAAATAAATGTGAGCTGATGGAAAAGTACATAAAGAGATAAAGAATTTCAAGTGCTTTTAGAATATACACGACTTCTTTTGTTTTTGAAAACGTATTCCAATAGTGATGAAAAAAGTTTGATTGTCATAGACATGATCAAATTCGATCCGTGGGAATCTGATGATGAGGCCATCTATATTGCAGTCGATTTATTTTCTTTAAGATGAGAGTGGTAGTGTAGTTTATCCATAGTCGAGCATTCACATCCATATCCTTCAATTTTGGAAAGTATTAAAGAACAGAAGTGGACAAGGGTGTTGTGATTTCTTAGCATTACCTGCTTTATTCTTATTCTTTTGTACATATTTTATGCAAAAACAGTAAGTTATGAAATTATTTAAGAATTGCTAGAAGCATTCTAGACTATTTAAAGATAATATAAATCAATTGCTTCACTATAGATCGACTCTACATCAATCATGAAAAGTACATAATAAAGAACGATAGATTGTGTCAAGAAAAATGAATCCGACATAAAAACTAGATTTTTCGAATTGCGTTTTACATCTCATTTGACTTCAGAAAGCTCAATCGAAGCTAATCCTCGGATTGAATTGGGTTGCAGGATCTTAGTCTAAAAATAATTGATACTTTTCTAACAACAAGTGTCATTCGACCATAACAAACGAATGAACTAGAATAAGTGCAGTAATTTTAACTAGATACTTTTTGTTATCATAATTTCAGTTTTTTTAGTAATCAAGATAAGAACAATGAATATCTATATTTTCCAACAGGAGATTATCCAATAGCATTTACTGATGATTCCATTGTTAAAGAACATTATGTAAACTAAAAAATGAACTTTGCTTTTTTTTTCTTCATTAATTTGTTTGTCTTTTCTCATAGCCTATTCTTGTTGATTGTCTCAATAAAGTTCTTCGACATCGTAAATTTTGTGCACATCCAGCAATGGTATGATTTTCGTAGTTAATATTTTTACTAATTTTAACGTATAGACTAATCAAATATCTAGAATTGATGAGAAACTTCTTTCTGATTATTGAGTTCATTTTCACAGAAATCCAAATGTTGCTAACGTAGCTTAACCGAAAACTACCAAATCAAATATAATCTTTTATATATAGAAACTTTTATTACAAGTAATTAATTGACTGGAAGAATAATTGATTACCATTTAAGAAAGTAATCATCCCAATCAATAACTAAGTTAATGAAATCTGTTGTTTAGGCGAGAAAAGATAACACTAGATGAAGATTTCATCTGTCTTCGTTTTATTCTGAAGGGTTAAAGCGGTAGTATACCCGATGTTTTCTGAGACTGTGGGGGAGAGGAGAAGAAGGCGGCGTGAGGTTTGGATTCGGATCGCAGTAGGTGCGGGTACAAATAGATAAAACGTTCATACCCGTGTCGTTTGTTAACAACCATCTCACCTGATTATTAATTATTCAAGGTTACTAATCTAGATGGTAGCTAATAGCTTTGATATAACATGCAGCAACTTTGTTATGGCCAAAAGCATATATTTCTTTCATTGAAAGTTTAACGTAAAATTTTATAAAGATAACATAAAAAACAGCAATCAAATGTTGTAAAATTTTTTAAAACTTTTTGTCTATAACTTTCATGTGTACTTCATGTAGCCCTGTTAGTATTGATAACGAATGTGAAAGCAAAAAGCTGTTCAAAAACATGAATTTTTACAAATAATAAGAAAATAAGAAGAAAGTACAAAATAAACAATAGAATAGTTAGTAAATTGTAGTTGACATCTCATTTCATTCTGTACATTTAATGTAATTTTGAAATCATCATCAAACTTTGTTTTTTCTTCATGGAATATATAAACGATATTTTTTCAATTTGTGGGTCTCTGATAAAAGACTTTCCATTTGTCGAGATAATAGTGTTTGTATAATAATCTTACTTTACTGTCCATCAGTTCTATGGTGTTCTGAATATTGTTCTAGCAGATCGAGTATGATTCATTTAAATCAAAACTCTTATGAATAGCAATAGAGAAAATCCTATACAATATTAGATAAAAATTCAATTAAAACGGTTAGTTACTCTCCTTATAACATCATATTGTACTAATTTAATTGTTTTTAGTGTCAATTTTTTGGCGTAAATTGGTTATCATTCATTCCTGGAGTTAGTCGAAAAGAAGGTTATCTACAAAAACAATCTATTAAGTATTATTTTGATTACCATGCTTTTTTGCGTGCATCATATTTTTGTGATTTATGTAAATGTCATGATAGTCCAAAGTACGCATCTTTTTTTTCTTATGAATTATATTTTCAATAAAGAGATCTTCATTTTGTTAAATATAGATGGTTTGTTATTAAAGACAGTTATATAATTGATATACGACCAGATATACATGAGGTATGTTTTCGTATGTTAGTTGATTGTGATTTTCAGGTTTCAACTGGTATTCCAAATATTGGCGATGATGATGGTATTAAAATAAGCAATTCACTGCGTATATTACTTATTAAATGTTGAATAGCACATAATGGTAATGAATGGATGAAACATTTATCAAATTTAACTGAACAACTAAAAGATTTTGTCAATGAAACCCGAAATCGATTCGATTCATATGCACCTATTCGAAAAAAATCAATTAGCATATTGGTAAAGTAATAAAATGATCTTGTATTAAAATATAATGTTTAATATAGGTTTATTAATGGTAAATCATATATGTCACCTAATGCTAAAGCATTTTTAACAGCTAAGGAAGAAGTTTTTATTATAGACTGGTGGCTTTCACCTGAACTTATATTAATTAGACCAGCAGATGAAAACACATTTCGACTTGATAATATATTAGGAAGAATAACTGTAAGAATTTGATTTCTTTAATTATTCATGCTTGTTAAAATGTTAGATGTAAATTTTAGAATGCAAGAGCTCGTGTTCATGTAATGCTTTACAAGAAAATGCCATTTGCTTTAGCTTTAAATAGTTTATATACAAAAATAAAATTAGTTTCTAAAAGTATAAAAGGATTTATTAAAGCCTACTGAGTGTTTTAATTAAAAATAACATAAATAGCTCATTTACTTGAATATCTAAGATTATTCGACATCCTGGTCATAATACTGAGAATTGCGTACTTTTGTGGTCTCATCATGAAAAAATGGTTGTCATCCATCAAAATATTGCTTTCATTGGGGGAATTGATTTATGCTATGGTCGTTGGGGTGATGAATGTATGCGGTGAGTTAGTATCTTGTATGAGATTTCATATTGTTTTCACGTACATCATGCATTGATTTCTACCAAAAAAATAAAAGCATATGCAATACAACATCTGTTCCAACATTGATTGCATTAGTATGAGTATTTACTATAGCATTAACTAAATTGACATCAAGATTGTCTACAAAAGTCAAACACTAACTCTATCAAAACTATGCTTTTTCTGTATCGTTCCATTCCAATCCTTGATTAACACTGACACTTGCGTGCACTAACTATTGCAGTTGCACAATTCTGAATGTATCATTGAGAGTGGATGCTTTTATTTCATAAATTATAAAACACTCTTCCTACGATAATTTTATATAATTATTTTTTAATAAAAATAAATCATGATAGCCATCTGAATATTTTCTTCACTCTTAATAATTTTTCTTGAAAGATATTCTAATGAGACATTACAGTATGAAGATAAAACTGTATACATTCAAATGAGCTATCGCTAACGCGAATGTCTGGCACAGTTACTCGTAGAAATTTTGCCTTGTCAATTATTTAAATGTAACGTCATCCAAAATGAATTAACATAAATAAAGAACCTGTACTTTGTTGAACCAAGTATTAAGTTGCGAGTTTTCATTTTTTTTTTTTTTATTGCCAGTTGTAGCGGCACAAAATGGCTACTGCCAAAATGGCTGAACAAGCTAATGAAGCACCTATCAAGGTAAGAAAACTAAAAAGAGAAACAATAAGTTTTCGGGCACTCTTGTATTTTTTTTATATTTATTGATTTGCGAAGCAGAAATAAGAGATAAAATTTTTCTTTTTTCATCAGTAGATATTCCTCGATTTATATAATTTTCAATATCAAAATTATGACTCTGGACTATCATCTTGAAGTATGAGACATTGTTTTGTAAAAACAATCGGTTTTTCGATGTATGCAGGATGAGATGTTTTTGTTTCTCATACTAAAGCATTCAACTTTGCGACATCATAATGATATCATGCGTATATCACTAGAGCGATTAAAACAAGCTGCATCCATTCGTATGATTGTCAATAAAGAAAAATAATATTCACAATAAAAACTATTCCAAAAAAAAAAGAAAAAATCTCTGAATATGATATTATACAGGAAAAATCATCAAAATGCTTCCAGGATTAATTTCTAAATATACTGCTGGGGAGCCCATCAAAAGTTGTACGAAATCTAGCAGTTCAAAATACTTTCAGCGCAAAAAATGAAAGCTTGGAGAAAAGTATTATACTAGAATATTGATGTTACATGTAGTCCTTGAAAGAATACTCAACTGCATTCATAACAAAGTTAGTATAAGACAGATGTATTGTATAGCATACGAGAGAGTAAAAAAATTCCCCTGAAACTGGTATAACTATCAGCGAAATATTCTTGTAACACTAAGTCTTATGCATTTTCTTACATTGAATCGGTTTAAAGGATGAAAGAAAAAACAAAATTTTCTTTTTTTTATTTGAAAAAATAGGATACGTGCGTAGGTATGAGTGAGAGCACTTGTACATGATGTTGGAAATGATTTTCTTGACGTCCATAGTCTAATTTTCAAACAAAAAGAATGAAAAATCCGTGTTGCATAAAAAGAAAGGAAAACGAAAATTCTTTTTTTTTAATCTTTTAAATCAATACGATCAAAGACAATGAAATAAAATTTGACACAACATGGATATTCCACTGATAAATATACCAGTTTGTAGAGAATTTTTTTCTCTATTGTATTTTACAGTTGAGTATTCTTTCAAGGACTGCGTGTAGCATCAATACTGTGGTATAATGCTTTTCTCCAAACTTTAAGTTTTTGCACTGAAAATATTTTGATGATTTTTCCTCTATACTATCATATTCAGAGAATTTTTCCTTTTGTTGGAATAGTTTTTATTGTGGATATTAGTTTTTTGTATTGATAATCATATGAATGGATGCAGCTTGTTTTAATCACTCCAGTGATATACGCATGAAATAATTTTGATATCGAAAATAATATAAATCGAGAAATATCTACTGATGAAAAAAAGAAACAATTTATCTCTTATTTCTTCTTCACAAATCAATAAATATAAAAAAAAATTAGAAGGTTGTGTGAATAGTTTTTGGTTTGACTGTATACACAACATTTCTGAATCTATTCTAGATTTTTAATCATCTGAAAACATTATTCAATCCTCTAAATGGGGGACATGCAGACATTAAGTTTCCTGATCAGTTGATGTAAGAAAATTCATTTTATTTTTTCCGAAATTATTTACTAATCTTTTTATCTCATTATCAAGGGATGCGATTAACATTAACAGGTAAAAATAAACATCTTTTCTTATTTATTATAAAGGAACATGAGGAGATAATGCTGTTTACATATCAAAAAGAAAATCATTCCAAATATCATGACTGTTTCGTATGCATAAGGATGAGTATACTATATTATACAAAAGATTGATGAGTTCATTTTCGATAATGTTACTTTCAATGGATTTCGTTCGTTTGTTACGATGTTTAACAAAACTCTATTGCCAATTGTAAAATAATATTTCACACTACTTTGTTTCTACGTAATCTAAATTTAATAAGTATTATCTGATCTAATATTTTCAAGTATTATTTTACAAAATTGTCATCATTGAAATAGAAACAGATAAAAATCAAAGTAATATCAAATCAGACAATGGTAATGATGATTATTTTACATCTGTAATACACTCACTACTAATCAACGAAAAAAAGTAATCATAGAAGTTACTGCATTGATATTATTGTCAAGTTAATATCGCTAGCATTAAACCTATATTTATTAAAATAATCGCATCGCTGCTCTTGTTATATACTATACACAATAATGGTATTTCTTTTCGTGCTAAATGTTGCTCCTGTAATACTTCTAATGAATATTATTTCACAGATTTTAAAGAAAATATTTTTTGTTTCTAACTTTATTGAAATGGATAGTTAGTATGAATTGTGAGTGTTTTTTTGAATATTGAAGACACACAAGTAACAAAGGATGAAAGTGTATAGGAAGATGATGGAGAAACAATTGAGCGATTTACTCCGGAATTACAACAATTAGTTCAAGTAAATAATGAAATCAATAACTTAGGTTTAAAAAGTCTTTGTATAACATGTTTGGTTAATCTTCGTTTAATTAGTTCTATGTCATTAGAGATAATTTTAAATGATCAAATAGAATGAGGATTTCATGCTCTTTGTAATTAATCCCTCCATATGTTTTTTCGGGGTCAGTACTCTTGTTCCTTTCATCAAAATCGGTCTCGATTACTCTCATTCAAATCGTATGAAACTTGCAGGATATATTAGAGATATAATGGAGAGACTATGTTAAAATTCTTATGTCTATACCAAGATGTGTTCTGCAAATGTTTCAAAAATAAAAGTGAAAAATGAATCTTTCGGCAACTTAAACTTTGCTGTGCATTTTTATTTCATAAATTTTATAACTTGAAATAATATACCATGTTACACTGTTTGGCAGAGGTCTTTCATTTTCTTACTTTCTACACAGAGAAGAAGAAAGATGAATGAAATATCTCAGAAACTTTTCTGTAAAATAAGGACAACAAGAATTTTGATACACAGAGAACGAACTCTGTTAGTCAACTTAATATGTCTGTAACAAAAAGTTTTCATATAGGTCTAGTTTTGTTTTCTTATGTTTTCATTTACATAGAGGGTGGCTTCTCTTTTTTTTCATATTCCATGAGTTTTTCAATTATCGTCTAGCGTGAACAGAGTCAAAACTGTCGAACTATCTCATCGAGAAAAGTTATAAATAGCAGAAGAAAAAAGTCTATTTTGCTCATTGTAAATAATATTTTTTACTTTCAATACTTCAACATCTGAAACTGATAGAAAACATCGATATTTTATTGGAAAAGATTATTGAAATATATATCAAAAAGATTTCACAGAAGTTCAAAACTACAAGACAGGTAATTATAGTCTTTATATCTTTTTTCATGTGTTTTGTTCATTTATGTCAATTCTACTAATGTAAATTATGCTCTAGATAATGTTATACGAACATTAGTACCACATATGTCATGGCATGATGAAGCATTAGCTGTATTTGGTCAAACTACTCGAGATGTTGCACGATATTTTATTCAACGATAGAATATTCATAAAGTTAGCTAAGAAAAACAAGTTAGCCGCATTTTGTCACATGTATTCATAACTGAAGACTATCGAATCAAATATAATTAATTAAATCTATAGTTTGATTGAAAAGCTGTTAGACCAATCTCTGCAGGATTAAAATCTGAAATCCGATGTAGCTATTGTTACCAATCGTTCGCATATTGTTTTCTTCGATATACTGTGATATATAATCGCTGATCTTGTATCGAGTGATCTGATAGGAAAAGGGTCATGTCCGAATCTCTCCGTATGTACTTCAAAACTATATTCAGATGATGTTTCACAAAACAGATACCAATAGATGAAGATTTCATGACGACCGAAGAGTTCGTCGCAGAACAACGCCTTCCGAACATATCATCGCATGGCCAAAAAGTTGTAACTTTTTTTCGGATATGAGGGTATGAGTATACGGAAGATGGTTACAGTTTGCCTAATTCATAACCAAATTCTATTGTTCTCGACCCAAATCCATATCGTGACACTTACAATAACACATGCAGCGACAGACATACTCTCATGTGTTTAAATAATTTGATATAGATCACATTATTTAAAACATGAGAGTAGATTTTCTAATATGATACATTGACTAGTGCTTCTTTCTTAACAAGAAAACTGACTGCAACTTGTTTCTTTTATACGATGATTCGTCCTAGCATCGATTTTCTCTGTCTNTTTTTTTAGTGAACGTCGAGATAAATCAACATTATTAGAAGGTGTTGAAGAAAAAATCAAAGATATTACAAATAAACTTTATGTTGTTTTGGCTGCATTAATTAAAGGTAATCGAGTTAATTGTTCAAATTTTGCTCAAAGTGCTCGACTTAATTGGCTTGTTAATCGTTTACAATCCCAACAAGCATCAAGTGGAGTATTAGAAGTACTTCATAGTATACTTGTTGATAGTCCAGAAGTATTAAATATGATTACAGAATCACATATACTTGCAAGTAAATATTAATAAATTTAAATTAAATTTAATATATGATTGAAAATATTCATTGTTTTGTTTTGTTAAATTTTAGTTATTGGATTACTTGATAGAAATGGTCGAGATCCAAAAGTACTTGATGTTTTGTGTTCACTTTGTGTTAATAATGGTGTAGCTGTTCGTGCTAATCAAAATCTTATTTGGGAAAGTCTCATACAAAGACGAGATCTTCTTTTACAAACTGCTTTAGTTGATCATGTTACTTGGTAAGAAATAAATTTAATTGATGATGTAGACTTTTCTTTTTTTTTCGAAGTCTAACAAAGAAAAATTAGAATTAGACAAGTATGAGTCAAAATTTGTTTTTTTTCTCTGCAGATACAGAAAAAAAATTAAGTTGAGAAAAGAAATTCTTCTTTTGCTTTGAGCAAGATCACCATTTCTAGATTATTCTATTCGAGAGTTGTAAAAATTTTCCTGTGATCATCATATTGAGATAGCAGAATTAAATCAGCTCGAACCCAAAAATCAAATATCTCCATTCGACTCAATATGATGAATTATCATCTCGAAGTGTCAGAATATCATTTAGTCTTCTCTCGTAAATGATGAAAATCTCAGAGCTTTATGATGTTCTTATCAAAAGTTATTCAAAAAACAGTAGAACACATTATATTTTGAAATAGGATAATAGACCATTGTCATATTCATTTTGAACATATAAATCTTATTTCAATGAAAAACCAAAACAAAACAAAAACGTTGTTTTTTCTTTAGCATGCGTTCAAATATTGTTGTTGGAGTTGAAGATGGTGAATCAATGTATAAAAAATGGTATTTTGAAGTTATTATTGATCATATAGAACAAGTAACACATGTTCAACCACATATTTGTATTGGTTGGACAACAACACATTTTCAACCATCACCTGGTCATGATGATGGATTTTCATCAAATGGTATTGGTGATAATACATATTCATATGGTTTTGATGGTCAAAATATTTGGTTTGCTGGTCGTGCATATGATGTATCAAATAATGATATAAAGCAAGTCGGTTTTTAAAAAAATGATGTTATTGGATGTTTATTAGATTTAGATATACCTGAAATGTGGTTTTCATTAAATGGTTTACCTGTTAAAGGTCTTATAAGAGAATTTAATATAACTGGAATNGATGACGTTTATGTCCATTATGCCTGGTATGCACACTAGTAAAACGGAATGCAGTTTTCGGAAATTGATTTGGCGTCCGGAAACCTATTGAGTTTCTTGACAAGTAATATAATGCATCATATGAATGCATTGCCCTGTAGAAATCGTTTTCGATTTTCGGAAAAAAATTTCATTTTGGAAAAGTCAATTTGCGTTTCCGGAAATTCGAAGACACCGCTATGAGATGCTACAGCATGCCCTGGAATACTACAAACATCGATTATGATGCTACAACACGTCATGGAATGCTATAGCAGTCTGGTATACTACAGCATGTCATGAGATGCTACAACATGCCCTGGAATGGTACAAACATCGATTACGACGCTACAGCTTGCCATCAGATACTACAGCATCCTATGAGATGCTCTCAGATGCTACATCATCCCATGAGATGCTACAGCATACCCTCGAATGCTACAGCTTGCCATCAGATGCCACAGCTTGCCATGAGGTGTTACAGCATACTGTGGGATGCTACAACATGCTCTGGAATGCTACAAGAAGTATATGAGAAGCTTGAGCTGCCGTGCAGCATGGAGTAGCAATGATGGTGTACACAAAGACGTGCATGGGTCGCGACTCGTCGAGGGGCGCTGCGCGCCCCCACGCCGCGACGCTGATATAAAAGGTTAGTTATGTGGGTAAACGGCTTTTCCTTCAGTGGATTATTGCTTCATTGGGATTTGCCTTTTCCTAGCCCCCCATATTCTCTCTTAGCCCGCCTCCATGTTTCTCTCGAATAGTGGAACACTTTAAGTGGACTGTGATGTTGGAGATGCATGCGAATGTGTAAATTATAATTTATATAAAATTATTTCTTTTGCTTTTTTGCTATTCTAACATGAGTGCCTTGGAATTTATAAATCATATCACCGTGGAGTGGTTTTGAAGGCAGTGTTCGGAAGAAAAAAATTTTTCTTCCGAACACTCTTCCTTCGAAACCACTCCACGGTGATATGTTGTAATTTATGTAAATTTATTTCTTTTGCTTTTTTGCTATTTTAACTTGAGTGCCTTCGAATTTATAAATTATAATTTATATAAATTTATTTCTTTTGCTTTTTGGTATTTTAACAGGAAAGTCGTTTTTTTCATTTATTTTTGAAGTTATGGTGAGCACTTAGTTCTCTACTATGTTGAGCAAAAAGTTCGCGGTCACTTGCAAACATTTTTTATGTTTGCAAGTGACCGCGAACTTTTTGCTCAACCTAATATATCATGTTGTAGAGCTTTTCGAGGCGCATCGAACGGTATATAGTAAATCCTGTTTTCATAGAACTTTGAAGGACCTAGAGTCAATTTACTGATAGACAACGACACATTCGTACCCATCCACATCCGCACCCATACCCAAGGACGATAAGTTAATGATTATTGTGGTTCTTGTTATTAATTGAAAGCATTTGTAAAATATTATTTCTCGCATGTGAGTGTGTATAGTTTTTGACGGACTACAACCTCATATACGTACCATCTCCGGTCATCTTGTGAATGTGGATGTGAGTATGGATGGGTGTGAATGTGTAGTTGTCTATAAGTAAATTGACTCTAGGTCCTTCAAAGTTCTATGAAAACAGGATTTACTATATACCGTTCGACGCGCCTCGAAAAGCTCTACAACATGATATATTAGGTTGAGCAAAAAGTTCGCGGCCACTTGCAAAGATAAAAAATGTTTGCAAGTGACCGCGAACTTTTTGCTCAACATAGTATTTAATTTTTTCATTTTCATCTGTAAATGGAGCATCAATTAATTTAGATAAAACCTTAAAAAAAAAATTATATTTAGGTAATAGAATTAAGAATAATTCTTACTTGAACAATTGGATCATTTGTCTTTTTAGATGTTGCCATCTCAATGCGTGAAGTACAATATGTGACTGTCAAATGAAATAGATGTGTGAATGTTTGTAATAAAGTGTAATTGTTTGTGTGTGTGTGTGTGTGTGTGTGTACTAATTTTTTCGCTTTAATATACACATAGAAGAATAAAGAATAACGTTTATATTGGACTATACAAACGGACAAAAGAGAAAGAATTAATAGTACTTCTTGAGGTCGGCAATATCTTTGTGTGTTACTGGTCATCAGAATGAGAGGAAAAAAACATTCTATTGGCTCAACTCATTCACTTAATAAAAATAAATCGTTAGACAAGGAACGAGAGCGTACATTCTCTATGTTGAAGAAAGCGATGAAATAAAAAAATTCTCATGTCGAACGGTACGACTTTGGTATGCGTACGGCACAATTGACTACTCAGTACTTGTGTGGTATACAAACCAAACGCAAACCGTAAAGATTATATAAAGAAAGGAAAAGCGTTAGATTTTTTTATTAATGTTTTTTCATAAAGAAACCAACCCAATTTTTCCCCAAATGAATATTTTTTTGATGCTAAGTTTTTACATAAAATAACTCAAAAGTATCTCGACTTTTCTTTGAATAACTCGAAATTTAGTAAGATATATATAATTATTGTTTTTGAAATTCATTTTTTTAGATATATTTTTCAATTTATTTTTACCTAAATTCTATAAGATTTATTTCTTCTATTTCTTTTTTATTCGAAGAAAAAAAAGTAAGTTCAATTGGAAATAATTCTGATTATTTTTGTATTCTCAGATGAGACAATAGAAATCTAATATACTGTATTTTTATTATTGTTTTAAAAGAATTAAAGAAATTTGTATTATGAAACAAGCTTTGAATTAAAGATGACAATCGAATAATGGTATTTTAATGAAGTTATATTTATATGACTTTTATCGACATAGAATCTAATCTTATTACTCTATTTTGCTCAAATAATAATATACTTCGATGCATTTTGTTTTTTCATTTTAAAACAATTTAAAATCATTCTAGGGTTCAATTTAATTTGCAAAAATTAATTAATTCATTAAAAAAATGTTGCTATAAATTACAATAAATTTAACTTTTACTTTTTGTTTTACTTGATTTATACTAAAAATTAATTAATTAAAAGATTTATTTTTGATAAAAATATGATAAACCTATTGTAGCTATTTTATTTCTTTTAAAAAGTGTAAAAAAAAACCTAGTTTTATTTTATAATTAATTTTATCTATAAGTTATGATAAGGTGTGGGTGTGGGTGTGAGTCGGTGTGAGTATGAATGCAGGTATGAGTAAAGAGAAGATTAACATTCACACCTACGCCCGAGTGTTTATTATTCCAAGTACTTATATGAGAAATACTTTTAATGAGCTGAACTCATGTGCAGAAAACTATGATAACTATGACTAATAATCCATCGAGGATCGAGTTGTTTTCTATAGAGAAAACTAGATTTTTGCTAACAAAACAATTTAGAGTTGAAGGTGGTTAAACAAATTTTTTTCATTGAGACTTTATGCAAAATAGGAACATTGTTTATTATGAAAAACGAGAAGCAAAACACACATTCAATGGTAATAAGCAAATTTAATAATATATGAGAATAAAAATTAGGATTAAAACAAGATTTACACATATAGATCGAATTGATTGTCTGTGTAGATTGTTGACTATTATGTGTATATGAAACAGAACGTCTTTTAAAAGTCTTTGCGTGTTTCTTTTAGATACAATGGACGAAAAGTATTAGGCAATATATCTGATTATTTTTTGAGTTAGTTTAGAAAAAACTTATTGCTCATGACGAACTACACTCAGCTTGATATGTAGATGTTACACTGAAACTATTTTAATATCATCGAGATGTGTCAATTATATTCGAATAAAATGTCTATACTGAAAAAACAGTTTTAATGTATTTAAGAGCTTATGACTTTAGGCAAATTTCAAAGTCATATATGAGCCATTCTACGTAAGCCACGACCTACAGCATAGAAATGCTGCTCAAACGAGGTCTTCAGATTTTGCTCAGGTTAGGATATTCCTATAGAGGAAAGAGTTTTATGAACTTTGACGCAAGCCGTTTCGAAAAATATTGAACTGTTGATTTTTTATGGCAGTTTTACGAAAAGCACTAAAAATCAGCACTTCGGTCAAGAAGGATCTTGACAGGTCCATATCTCAATAACGGCATGACAAACGAAGCTGAAATCTTTTATGGACATATATCTTTATGAATTATAGCCACCATATAAATTTCAAGTCAAAATATTGCGTCCTTCATTTTCTATGACTCATCCAATATGAACAAAAATTCATATTTTGGGCAACTTTGGTGCTTCATAACTCGTAATAGAAATGTACTAGATGTCTAAAATTTTCACTGGAGCCAGAGTATATAGAGATGTGTATCCCCTGAAAATTACAGCTTTGCATGCCTTTTCTTTCGATCAGCAGAACTCTCTCAAAAATGGATTTTTGATGAAAATCGTGGTTTTCAGACGAGGTTTTCTCCCAAGAAACCAGGTTGTATGAGGGCTGACCTTAAGAAGTTGGAAGAGTCATCTGAGATGTATAACTTCGTGGCAAAATCGGTCTGAGACGTCCAGAAATGGCTTGCAGCAAAGATCATCTTAGGAGCCCTGAACTGAATATTTGGGCCAGTCCATATATGTCAATATCATGAGCGGATCATGCTGGTGAGCTGAAATTTTGGCTGGGTGTGGATGTGGGAGTGGAAATGATATCAGTTTGAATATATTCATGAACACTCCACACCCACACCCTCTTTGTAACGCAAGATGTTTTCTTCTACTTTACTGGTTTTTCTTTATTGACATCGAACAGTTATGCTAAGAGAGTCCATTGCCTATTAGACTGTGATACCTACAGATCGCTTGTTGTATACAAAACAAAAACAGAATAGCATACAAGAAAAAACGAAGAGAACAAGGGCATATACTTTGATTTCAATTACGAAATTGTAAAAAACAAAAGGCTTGAGAAAAGTCATTGATGCTAGTCTAAATCTCGAGTCACAAAAATTTGATCTATACAAGACACTGGTGGCGTAATTAGAAAAAAAAATTGTAGGAGAACTTCAACCCTCTAAAAATGTATGTAAATTGCGGCGAAGATTCTCTCATAACACTCTACAAGGGAGAAGGCAAACTCTTTTAGTCTCAGTCTATTTACATCACTATCATTTACGGGACTTTGTTTTGTCTCCCTTTTATTCAATATGAAGGAAATCTTCTTGTGAGCCAGCGACAATTAATGCAAATGGGTTGTTAATAGAGCTTTTGAACCCAACTTGTTGACTTGTATGTCACCATTGGGCTTTTCAATTATCGACATTTTAAATATATATTAATTATATAAACTAATAGTGATCTAAAGGAGCATTTTGAATTCTCAAGAGACAATATGATTCAATAAAAAAATATTGTTAAAAAATGTTTTGCTATATATTCTCTTATCTATTTTAGTTTATTTATCAAGAGTGGTGCTGCTTGTCAACAAGCTCGATCATTATGGCGTATTGAATGTTTTAAAATCAAGTAGAATATATGAAAATAATCAAAATAAAATCATTTTCAAATTTATTTTCTTTCTTAGATGGTACAGTGGTTTTGTTAGTTGGAGTTCATTAGTTCGCCTTCGACATGTTACATCTGGTCTTTACTTAGCTGTTATCAGTGATGAAAATGGTAAAGGATATTTTTCTAAAGATTTTTTTGTAGTTTTTAAATAATAAATTTCAGGTCCTAAAGTCACTCGTATACCTATGCGAGTCCTATAGCAGTAACATTTGAAATGAAAATGTCAAAAGTAAATATAAAATATAAATGAAATAAAAAGAATTTTTTTTCTTCTTTTAATCAGGAAAAACAAGTCGAAGAAAATCAAGAAGAAGAAGATAATTTACGTTTATCAACAGTAAAATATGGTGAAACAATTGTTTTCATACGTCATGTTGATTCTGATCTATGGATTAGTTATGAAACACTTGAATTAACTATAAAAGGAATTGGAAAAGTTGAAGAAAAACGAGTAATAAAATAAAAACAAAATTATATTTTGTTGTTATTTTTTATTTAATTAGATTATCCCAGCTATTGAAGGTCATATGGATGATTGCTTTCGACTTGTACGAGCTCAAGAAGAAGAGCAAAAAACAGCCTTAGTTATTCGCATATGTAATGCTATTCTTGGAAGATTTAATCGAACTTAGTAAATAAAAACAAAATATCAAACAAAATTAATATGATTAATTATTTTCTATTTTAAACTTTTTTTAAAGCTCAATGTCATTTGATTCTGAAGCAATAAATCATTTATTAAGTAAAAGTGATGTTATACAAGCACTTTTACATGATTTAATTGGTTTTTTTTCTCAACCATTATCATCACTTGATCATGAAGAAAGACAATTACGTCTTAAAATATTACGAAATCGACAAGATTTATTTCAAGAAGAAGTATAAAATTTTCAAAAAAATATTAATTTCGACTTAAATTATTGAATTTTATTATTTTCTTTTTTTCAAAAGGGAATGATTCGAATATTAATTGCAGCAATAAATTTTTTTAGTGAACGTCGAGATAAATCAACATTATTAGAAGGTGTTGAAGAAAAAATCAAAGATATTACAAATAAACTTTATGTTGTTTTGGCTGCATTAATTAAAGGTAATCGAGTTAATTGTTCAAATTTTGCTCAAAGTGCTCGACTTAATTGGCTTGTTAATCGTTTACAATCCCAACAAGCATCAAGTGGAGTATTAGAAGTACTTCATAGTGTACTTGTTGATAGTCCAGAAGTATTAAATATGATTACAGAATCACATATACTTGCAAGTAAATATTAAAAAATTTAAATTAAATTAAATATATAATTGAAAATATTCTTTGTTTTTTTTTTTTGAAAATTTTAGTTATTGGATTACTTGATAGAAATGGTCGAGATCCAAAAGTACTTGATGTTTTATGTTCACTTTGTGTTAATAATGGCGTAGCTGTTCGTGCTAATCAAAATCTTATTTGGGAAAGTCTCGTACAAAGACGAGATCTTCTTTTACAAACTGCTTTAGTTGATCATGTTACTTGGTGAGAAAATTTACTGACAATGTAGAACTTTTACTCATATTCAAGGGTTCAGTATTTAGGTTTGACTGTGTATCGTATGTTTTCGTAATATTTTCAAAATTCTTAATAAGATTTCATTTTTCGTATTTGAGAAAAAACTATTATTATTATCAGATACTACTATCGGCGCCAGAATTCAAGGCAGTCGGATGTTTTTTGAATAACTTTTGATAGGAACAAGATAGAGACCTGCAGTTTTCAGCATTTGATAGTCAAGACCCAGAAGCAGATTTTCATAAGCAAAATCTTTGCTGAGAAAAAAAAAAATCTGAAGATCGGTTTTTCAGAGGATCTTTGGAAAACCACGCTGGATTTCTGAAAACTGCCATAACAGTCTATTGATTTTTTTACATATTCAGAATCTTCATCAAAAACTGAGTCGAACCACATATGTTTCGAATCTTTTCACAAACTTTTTCTTTCGCCGAAAAATTCACCCCTGGTCCTCCTGAGGAAGAGATCAAAAAATAAAGTCAGTCAAAAAGTCACTTGGACAACGGAAATCGAGTTCAGAACTTCTAAAATGCTAGTAGAGCATAAAATGGCGAATGAATAAACAATAAAAATGGAGTTTTGGCTGCCTTCATTTTTGACTTACCCCTCATGGGGACCAGGGGTGAATTTTTCGACGAAAAAAAAAGTTCGTGAAAATATTCGAAACATATGTGGTTCGACTCAGTTTTTGATGAAGATTCTGAATATGTAAAAAAATCAATAGACTGTTATGGCAGTTTTCAGAAATCCAGCATGGTTTTTCAGAAATTATCTAAAAAACCGATCTTCGAATTTTTTCTCAGAAAAGATTTTGCTTATGAAAATATGCTCCTAGGTCTTAGCTATCCAACACTGAAAATCGCAGGTCTCTATCTTGTTCCTATCAAAAGTTATTCAAAAAACATCCGACCGCCTTGAATTCTGGCGCCGATAGTAGTATCTACGAAATGAAATTTCTCCTTTTTTTTTATCTCTGATATCGGATAGAAATAATGAAAATATTTTAAAATTTAAATAGAAGTAATCGAGAAAAGAAATGCTTCTTTTATTTTGAGTAAGGTCACCATTCCTAGATTATTCTATTCGAGAGTTGTAAAAATTTTCCTGTGATCATAATATTGAGATAGCAGAGTCAAATATCTACATTCGACTCAGCATGATGAATTTCCATCTCGAAAAAGAAATAGTGTCAGAATATCATTTAGTCTTCTCTTTTGAATAATGAAAACCTTAGATATTTATGATGTTTTGTCATATTCATTTCGAACATATAAATCTTATTTGAATGAAAAACCAAAAAACAAAAAAAAAACGTTGTTTTTTTCTTTAGCATGCGTCCAAATATTGTTGTTGGAGTTGAAGATGGTGAATCAATGTATAAAAAATGGTATTTTGAAGTTATTATTGATCATATAGAACAAGTAACACATGTTCAACCACATATTCGTATTGGTTGGGCAACAACACATTTTCAACCATCACCGGGTCATGGTGATGGATTTTCATCAAATGGTATTGGTGATAATACATATTCATATGGTTTCGACGGTCAAAATATTTGGTTTGCTGGTCGCGCATATGATGTATCAAATAATGATACAAAACAAGTTGGTTTTAAAAAAAATGATGTTATTGGATGTTTATTAGATTTAGATATACCTGAAATGTGGTTTTCATTAAATGGTTTACCTGTTAAAGGTCTTATAAGAGAATTTAATCTAACTGGAATGTTCTATCCAGCTATGTCTTTATCATCTCGTGTCAGGTTTGATAAATACAAAAGAAAAAAAAAATCTTCAAAAATTTTCCTTTTTCAATTAGTTGTCGATATATATTTGGTGGTGAACATGGTCGTTTTATGCATCAACCACCTGAAGGTGTTGCATCACTTTATGAAGCTATGTTAATTAAACAAAAAGTTTGTATTGAACCATGTTTTTCATTTGGTAATATTGAACGAAATTGTCTTAATGGTCCATCACATATTCAACATAATATTGCATTTACACCACAACCAGTACGAACAAATCATATTATATTACCAACATATCTTGAAAATATATGTGATAAATTAGCTGCTAATTCTCATGAATTATGGTGTATGAATAAAATTGCTAATGGTTGGCGATTTGGTGAAGTAAATTTTCATTTTGTTTTTTTTTTTTGTTTAATAAATAAAAATAGAAATATTTTTCTTTTAAATTTTAAGAATCGAGATGATATACAAAAGATAAATCCATGTTTAACATTATTTGATAATCTTCCAATCGAAGAAAAACAACATAATCTAACAACAACAGTAGAAAATTTGAAAAGTTTATTAGCATTTGGTTATCATATTGGTATAGAAATGAAAACAGATGATCGTCGATTAAAATATATTAAATTACCAAATACATATGTACAATCAAATAGTTATAAATCTCAACCATTAGATTTATCAAATGTTATTTTATCTACTAAAATGGATGAATTAATTGAATTATTAGCTGAAAATACGTATAATGTTTGGGCAGCAGCTAGAATTAAAGATGGATTTACTTATGATGTATCCGATGTAAGTTAATCAAAATATTTTAACCACATGATTGTTAACATTTATATAGAATCGATATTTTTCTTTGAAATTTATCGAATGATATCATAACATATATGAAGATCTTATAAGCAATGTCTACAGAATATAAGTTCATTCTTGAACTGACTCGGATATTTTACGCTTATGAAAAAACTGTCCAGAATGTAATCTTTAGGTTTGAGCTCATATTAAATTCACCTAAGGCTATCGGGAAGATTAGAAAAGGCTAAGAGGATTCGTTCCGATGAGTTTCTCGAACCAAGTTATGGACTATTGTACTGAATTTTTTATCTGCAATTTTACACATAGACAGGTCTAATAATCTTTAGAATATTCCTTTGTATAGTTATTGAATTTTCAAAAACAGCGTATGGTCACAGATATGTCATATAAATCGAGTTTACTTGAAAATTGAATATCTTGACAAATGAACATTTTTTTTTTGTCGGCTGAAACTTCCAGAATATTCGAGACATCATGAATAGAGATATGCGAAACCAAAATTTTAAAATTTTACTGAACCAGATCTGAACTTAAACAACTACTAGAAAAAGAACAGCAGGTTACAATTTGGATAGTTCCCTCGTTAGCTTGTATGTTCATACAAGAAAACTTTGTATTCTAATTCATGATTGAGTTTTAGTTAAATGTCAAATTTATTCTTGTTTTTTTTTTATAGAATCCTCATCATAAACGAAGTCCATATTTACTTCCATATTCAATAATTGATGATAGTATTAAAAAAATCAATCGAGATACAGCAAGTGAAACTGTTAAAACACTTCTTTCTTATGGCTATACAATAGATACACCAACAGGTGATATTGAAGATCTTAATAGACGTAATAAAGATGTTAAAAATAATGAACCTATGTCAAATTATCGAACATATCGTGCTGAAAAAACATTTGCTGTAACACGTGGTAAATGGTATTATGAAGTTGAATTATTAACATCAGGTCGAATGTTAATTGGATGGGGACATGCATCAAATCTTGGTGCATTTTATCCACTTGGTACCGATTCCTATGGATATTCATTTGATGGTTTAAATGCACGACGTTTTCATCATAATACATATGATAGATTTGGTAAACAATGGACAAAAAATGATGTTGTTGATTGTATGATTGATTTACATGATAAAACAATAAGTTTTTCATTAAATGGTGAATTAATGTTAGATAATTATGGTAATGAAACATCTTTTGATGGACTTGATATTGATGAAATTGGTTTTGTACCAGCAATAACATCATTTAGTGGACAAAAAGCTCGATTCAATTTTGGACAAGATATTCATTCATTAAAATATTTTACATCTTGTGGTTTACAAGAAGGATATGAACCATTTTGCGTGTAAGTTTTAATTTAATTCTTCATTCCACAACATATAAAATCAAAAGATTTTTTTTTCTTATTGATTTGAAATTTTTAGAAATATGTCAAAAAATGCAACATTTTGGTATTGAAATTTTATTCCTCGTTTTATACCAGTCAAGTCAAATTCATCATCTTTCGAAGTCATTCGGATTGGTGCAAGGTATATAACACAATAAACAGATTTGTCACTTACGTTAGGATATCATCTACGATATATACATCTGAGATGTATGAATATTTTTGTGCATATACTTTTGCATAGAATGTTGTTAAGAATGACTTGAATGCAAAGAGATTTACGATAAATGATATCTAATTTTACTTTGAACTTTTTTTTTAATGTGAAAAGGATGTCTATTAAATCAAACAAAAATCTATTTAATAATTGGGAACGTTTTCTGGTTAACTCATTCGATTAAATATTGATCTTCAATATATATTAATACAATGATTATCATTTGAATTTAGTAGAAGTTTTGTTTCTCAAACTTTTAAGGAATAATGTTTGATTTCGAGAATAATTGCTTTCAATGTATGAATTATATTCTATCCAAAGAGCAACAGATATTTTCTGCTTCACATCAATTGTTACAGTTCTATAAAGGTTTGATATACTTCAATGAAATCAATAACAGGGATGACTGAAATATTGCAATACATAATGAAGAATTTATTGATCCTCAAAGTCCTTTCTTGTCTCGGTTATGAAGTTCTAAAGAAAATTAAATACCATCTATTATAATTCTATTTTGTACTTGAACAATCTAAGCAAGATCATGTGTTTAATCTACATTGTTAAAAAAGTATATGCACACATAAATATCTAAACTTATTGAATCTACAAGTGTTAAGATTCAGCATCATGAAGACTTACGTTTATGTTTTTTTTTTTTTTGGTTTCTAAATTAATGAATTTATTTTATTTTTTAAACATAGTCGCGATGATCCACCATTAATAAAATTACAATCTCGATTATTTGGAACATTGGAAAAAGTTGAATTTGAATTTCTACGTTTATCACTTCCTATATCATGTCATGATAAATTTGTACCAAGGTAATTTTCATTTTTCATTTTTTTTATTAAATTTTGAATTTTTTTTTTCCTTTCAAAATAAAAGACAAGTAACTCTTGAACGACGTCAAATGGTCTTAAATGAATATCTTGAATGTCATGCTGAAAAACATAATTTTATATTTCTACCAAAACCAACTACACCATCATCAAATGAACAAACAGAAAGTTCAACAACAAATAAATCTCAATCTGATTCAACAAATTCACTTGTCAAATTTGTTGATCAATCAACATCAAGAAAAAGTCCATTATCAATAATGAATGAAAATAAATCAAATATAAAATCATCAACAAATAAAATCAATAATTTTTTTCAATCACTCTTAAAAGAACAACAACAACAACCTACAAAACGTATGGTTAAATTAAATACAGATACAAATGCAATAAATATAAATCAACAAAATCAATTACAATCTGCCTTAAAACCTCCAATAAAACAATCAAATAATACTATGACAGAAAAATCTACAAATGAAAATGATACAGAATTTAATGATCAACAAACAAATGATTATGAAGATGATGATATACGTATAATTAATGAACATATTCATGATTATTATTATGCAGTTAGAATTTTACCTGGTCAAAATCCACGTTCAGTATTTATTGGTTGGGTAACATCAAGATTTAAATCAGTAAATCGACACTATGATACAACAGTAAATAAATTAACTAAACTNTAAATGTTCGATCATTTCAAAACAAGCCGTTAGCTGAAACGTAGTTAAATGAATATGCACGTTACGACATGAATGAGGAAATTTGCGCTTATTATTTTTAAGATAACTTAAGAGTCTTTTCTTTGAATCGTAATTCGTAACAATATGTATTACTAATCTAGATTGATTTAAAATAATAACAAAAAACTTTAGAGATAGGTTAGACTGATTTGAGAAATTTCACACTGAATCAGTTATGCGTTTGTAGAAACTTGGAAGCAGCATTTCGAGAATTGTATCCTACAACCGGCTCTAGTCGCGGCGATGATCGCTTTCCACTGAATACGGAAAAATCCGGACATTGTATTTCTACTTCCACATTCGAATCATTTTTTCCAAAACTTTCTGGTGGAATTGGTTGTATATCCTTCACTTGGAATTTCATTATTTGAAAGTATACAAAACTGTCTAAATAAAAATGAATTTCTTTCAAAGTCACCACTGGCATTGTTCGATATTTCATTAATACAAAACATGCTAATTGTAATGTATTATATATTTATGAGTGAAATAAGTTGCTTTTGTTCCCAGTTCCGCCGCCACTAGAATCATCTTGCCCATACAAAATATTATATTTCTGAATAATATAAACTGTCTTATAATATTATTTATTATTTAGTTTTAAAGTTGATCGTGAACGAAAATTACTTGTTCCACCACCCTTCAATGTTTCAAGTCTCAAGGAATATATCATGACTTCTTTAACAGATGCTATTGAAAAAAGTTCGCGTCATCTTCGTGATCCAACCGGTGGTACATATGCAAATTGGCTTGTGTAAATACTGAAATTAATATTTTATTTTATTTTAAAATCATATGTTTTTTAGACCATTACTTCAATTAGTTGATGCTTTTCTTGTTATGGGAACACTTGGTATAAAAATAATAAATATTTTTGTAATTCAAATATTATTCTATAATATGTTTTTTTGTAGAAGTAAATGATATTCAACAATTATTACGTTTAATTGATCCAACATCATTTGGATTAGAAAATGAAGAAAATTTTACTGAAGGTTTACTTGAAATGACATTAGATGAACCAGTTAAACTTCAATTGTGTCATATTTTACAACATTTATGTGATTATCAATTACAATATCGTATTGAAAGTCTTATTACATTTTCCGAAGAATTTGTTGGAAGATTACAAGCAGTAAGTTTAATAAATATTTTATTTTTATGATAGAAAAACAAAAATCATACTCATATCTAGGATCAAAAACGACGATATCAAGTTTTAAAAGAATCAAGTTTACCACCAGCTTTAATGGCAAAAAAAACTCGAGAATTTCGTTGTCCACCTAAAGATCAAGTAAATTAAAGAAATTTCTTTGAAAAAAACTAATTCTTTTTTTTTTCTTTTCAGATGCAAGCATTACTAAATTTTAAAAATGATTTAAATGAAACAATTGTTTTTAATGAAGATATAGAAGAAGAAATAAAAAATATGTTAAAAATTTTCCATTCAAATTTACTTGTTTTACAACAAGTTGTTGAGGTTTGAAAAATCTTTATTTATTTATATTTTTATGAAACATAATTTAAAAAGAATGTTGAATTATGAGGATGAAAATTTGAACTTTTCATAGAACGTAACAGATCAAAGATCGAAATCGGATATGAACTCATCTCTTTTTAATTCCATAAGATTTGTGCTAACAGCTTTTGATTAAATTTTGTTTTCATTGTAAATATAGACAAGACCTGTGATTTATCAACAATTGAATGTAAATGAAATTGATCGTAGTGAACAAATTTCATTATTTTCACGTTTACTTGAAATTCTTATACGACATGCAATAAAACAGAAGCAAGAAGAAAATATTATTATTGAAAAACAATTAACATTGAAATCAGGAAGTAAGTTGTAAATGATGAACCTATGGAAAAATAAATGATTTATTTTGTTTTTCTTTTTTAAAGAAACTCTTTGTGATGTAATTAAAGAAACAGTTATTAAATGGGGTCGAATAACACATATTAATGATCCAAATTTAATTCGAGAAATGTTTAAATTAATTTATAATCAATATGATGGAATTCAGCGGGTAAATACATCTTTTATTTTTTTAGCAAAATCTCTATTTTTGTCCTACTGAAAATATAATACAGAAAGAAAAATTTCCGTACTATTCGTGTAGTTCGAAAAAGCGAAGACCTAATTTTGAGTACACAGACTCATAGTATATATGGTGCAATATCCGCAAAGTTCGGAAGAGTCAACATGATCTTCGGAGCGATGTTGCCTCTATGCTGGAGAAAACACTGCGCCTAGATGCAAGTATTCAAGTTGAATTCTATCGGATGATGATAATTTCGGTTGTATTCAGACATTTATTTTAGTCCTTATTTGATGATCTAGTTTAATAGATGAAAAAAACATCGAGTTCAGGACTCTCATGAATTTATCAAAGTCCACAAGTTCTTGAACTACTTGCTTTATAGCGAGGAGGAGAGAAATAACTAGGGGTGAAATTAGAAAACTAACTGCTCTCTAGTTCTAGTAAATGTAATGGAGAGTGCTACTATTCTATTAGTACCATGTATTTTTTGATAAGACGAAGCAATTAGCGATGGCTCCACCTGGCACTGCCTTCCTCCGCCAAACAGAAGCAAGAGGAGCGCTAGTCTTCTGTTTTCGCCACTATTCTAGTGAATATCAGATCGAGGAATATGCAGACCGTATACGATTAATTTACAATACTTTTCCTCGTATATTACACCTATCTCAACTATTACACATAAAATCTATCTAACAACTAAAATAAAATAAAAAGTTTATATTTATTATGCATTGAATTGATGCGATAAAATTCTCTAAAATAAAAGTACTATTAGTTTTCTCAACTAATTTAATTATGTACACGCAATGATTATACGATAGTCATATATTTTCTTATATAGAGAAGAGAACTTTATCCTTTTATCTCTTTGTTTTTCTTCATAAACGGTCGTTTATGACATATGTCTTTTCGACTCACGAGGGAACATATGCAAGTGTAAAATCGCTTTTGAGTTCGGACTCTGTGCATAAGGTAGACCCCAGTGAGGTATGAAAAACCCTAAAAGGATAAGGGCTGTTAGGTCTTCTGTCCAGAGTTATAGGTATTTTACTGGAATTTTAGCCTATGGCATGATATATACCAACAAATCGAATGATTGTATTNAAAAATAGTCAAGAAATGGTTCGTGCTTCATTATTACCATTATTTAATAATATTGCTGAAGATCTTAATCAAACTGTACAAAATCTCGAACAAAGACGTTATAGTAATATAAAAGGAACATTACAACGTGGAACAACTAGTCTAGCTTATATACATATGGTTCTTTTACCTGTACTTTCATCATTACTTGATCATTTGGGAAAGAATAATTATGGTGTAGATGTATTCGGTATGATATTCGCAAGAACAGTAATTAGCTTTGAGATTAGTATCGAATTGAATAGTCCAAATACATAATGTAAGAATGGTTCCCCTGAATAGGGGTGGGAAGTTACCGTTACCAGACCGTTCCGTTCTCGGGTAACGGTAACTTTTCCGTTACCAGTTACCCGGGAACGGTAACCGCCCGTTACCAGTTACCTGGGAACGAGGTAACGGAAAAAGCTCTCCTTCCTATTTTCTTTATGAAAATGGTTTTTGAAAAAAATCTTGTAGTAAACAAATTTTTTTACAACAAAATTTTGGGGTGTTTTCGAAAAAAATTATTTTTTCTCAAAAAGTCTATTTCTGAATTTAAAAAAAATTTTTTTTCAAAAATCATTTTTATAAGGAAAATAGGAAGGAGAGCATTTTCCGTTACCCCGTTCCCAGGTAACTGATAACGGGCCGTTACCGTTCCCGGGTAACTAGTAACGGAAAAGTTACCGTTACCCGGGAACGTAACGGGAACTTCCCACCCCTACCCCTGTATAATATCAAAAATGGATGCAAGTGTGGTTGTGGGTGAAGGAAAGTTACTCGTAACCGCATTGACGTACATCAACATCTACACTCACACCCTCAAGTTGATAAATAATCAGAAGGATTTACTGGATATCTTTTAGGAAATTTCGATCGTTTGCAGTCGAAATGAATGGAACCGATTGAAAAGATTCATCACGTTTCAGCTCATATTTTGGGAACAAAGCCGCGTAAATGTTCTTTCTATCACGACTTTCTATGAGATTGTAAAAATTTTGTAGAAAGTTTTAGCAAGGAAACGTCCCTGCTCTCCTGTTCTTAATCAGTAACCCTATTCGCGCCTTATGATTCTAGATTTTTACTATAGAACGGGGGTACCCATGTTCAAATAAGGAACTCCTGATTTTGTTCGAACTTTTTTCTATAATCAAATTGATTCTTGAACATATTATGAAAAAGATAATCATTTCGATAACTGAAATTTTCAAGATATGCTCTAGATGATAAGATCTACTTATAGACTAAGTTTCAAAGTTGAAATTCATTTGTTTAATTACTCTGTCAATACTATCATAATATGAGTTGAATTGTCGATGAGATAGACTGACTGATCATATTTCAATGTCAGTACAATGTGCACAATTATGAAATACTTTTAATAATCGATTTGCAAACAGATATAGAATAAAAAATCTTTTTATCGAATAATTCAGAAATTTTCGTAGGAAAAAAAGACAACAAAAATTGTGTTTTTTTTTAATATTTATATAAGTTCACTGATGCTTTTTTGTTTCATAGAAAATGAAATTCAATTGGCTGGTTATAAAATTCTAAATGCTTTATGGATTATGGGAACAAAAGGAAGACAATTTGTCGATCGGTAATTATTGATTTATGAAATGTAGAATTCATAATAAATGAAAATTTTCTTTTATTCAAGAGAATGGATTATTGATGAATTAAATCGTCATCGTCCATTAGTAGGTGATTGTCTAAGTTCATTTGCATCATGTTTTCCTGTAGCATTTTTTGAACCTGAATTCAATGGAAATAATAAAAATGCATCAAATGTTTCACAATTATCACCAGAAGCTCATGGTTAAAAAAAAATAATTTTTAATTTGAAAAATAAAACTATATGATTTCTATTTTAAATAGATGTTATGACAAATATTTCAAGAACAATTCCTAATTTAAAAAAATTAATAGCAGATATTGAAGAACATGCTGATTCACAAGTAAAATATGAAGATGCTCCTTATGTTGTTGAAGTTATTCTTCCATGTCTTTGTTCCTATTTATCATATTGGTGGTCAATGGGACCAGAAAAAGTTAAACAAATAACTGAGTATGAACTTTTCTTTTGCTGTTAGTTCAAAGATCATAATTTTTATTTATTTTTTTATTAGACCACAAATAACAAATGTTACAGCAAATCATATGAATTCTGTATTAGGTAGTGTTTTAAAATTAATTAATAACAATATTGATGCTATTGAAGCTCCATGGATGAAACGTATTGCAGGTAAATTATTATAGATAATGAATAACCTAAATGATAAAAATAATCGAATATCTCCAATCTACATTAACCAATTGGGTTAGTTTTTTTTCTCGGCGAATAGAGCGCTTGTCAAATTTTTTTATTTAGCATTCATTTCAATGGGATATTTTTGTCTTGTTTTCTGAACAGAACTATGAGTAAAACAGCATCACTATAAATTCTTCGGGTTAGATATGTGAAATTTTGAGTGCATGTAATGCGTTAGAAATATAGGTCAGTGAGAATAGTCTCACAACGAGTAAAGCTATCATACATCTTAAGAGACCAGACTGACATTGTGGTCTACATTTTTTAGATAACATATATGCTTAACCCTTTGAGTCCTGAATTTTTTCTATCCAACCTAATTTGATGAAACCACTAGGAATGATAGAGCTAGGTGTGCTAATGAAGTTCCACTATAGAACAGATCTTGTTAATCCCATATTTTTATCCGAGGGTGGGTGCAAAATTGGGAAAAATTCGAGAGTAGGCTCCAAAGATGTCTTTGCCATTTNTACATCATTAACAACATTAATGACTAATTTTAGTGTACTTGATCTTGATACATTTGAACGTTGTATTAAAGCTGAAGTACTTGGTATATTAGCGCTTAATGATGGACTATGATTATATCAAATGTTTGATTTTCCTTTTTATATAGGTGTCGATGCGGAAAGAATGGCCGGTGGAAAGAATTTACATGATGCTGATCTTATCATATCACTTTTTTTGTTATTGTCAACTTTTATGTGAAGGACATAATCTTGAATTTCAAAATTATCCTTGTTTACAACCTGAAAGTAGTACAAATGTCAATATTATTATTTGTACTGTTGATTATTTACTTAGTTTGCAAGCAATATAGAAAAAGCAAAAGAATTTTATATAATTTTTTTTCTTCAATATATTTTAATTTAGGAATCATTAATGGATTTTTATTGACCTTATTCCAGCCAAGAAACAGTTTATGCAAGGGAAAAGATAATCTTTTTCGAGCTATTAATGTAGCTAAACAAGTTTTTAATACATTAACTGAATATATTCAGGTTTGATTAGTCAATTAAAAGTTTTATTTTGATTTGATAATCCTTTCTAGTTATCGAAAACTATAAAGGAAATTTACTTCTTTGTCTGAAGTCAAATCTTTCCTATTATTCCCTAATAGTTACATACGTACCTTATAAACACATTAGAATAGCATAGTACAGTCATTGAGATAATTTCGTGAATCCGTCAATACTTATCCAATGAATATCATCTGAATATGAACTAGTCATTGTCATAATCATCATCTACTATATTTTTTAGGGCCCATGTCCACAAAATCAATTAGCATTAGCAAACAGTCGTTTGTGAGATACTATTACTGGATTTCTCTATACTTTTGCACATATACAAAGAAAATTATCTCAAGTAAAATATGATTGATTTATCGTCTAATATTATATATTCGATTATTTTTAGAATTCATCACAAATTGAACTATTACGTGAATTTATGAAATTACAAAAAGATATGGGTATTATGTTACTATCAATTCTTGAAGATATTCTATATATATTTTTATTTGTTATTATTTCATCGTTTTGTTTTTTACCTGTGAATAAAATTAAATAGTTTATTTTGTTCATGTTAGTTGGTAAACAAATGGTTAATACATTAATTGAATCTCAAGTTAATGTTGAATTATTATCGCAGTTTTTTTATATATTTTTTAAAATAAAAGATTTAACAACATCTAAAGCTTTTCAAGAATATGATACAAATAAAGATGGATTTATTTCTCCAAAAAAATTTCGTCGTGCTATGTAAGCACAAAAAGTTTATTCAAGGTAAAAATGATAAATTCGAATTTAAAAACAAATCCAAATATTATTTGTGTAATTTAGTCAAGATATAGATTATATATTAGATTGTGTTGATATAAATCAAGATGGAAAAATTGATTTTCTGGAATTTACCGAACGTTTTCATAGTTCAGCTCGAGATATTGGTCTTAATATGGGATGGAATAAATCACATATTAAAGTTTATTTATCTAAATGAATAATAATAGAAAAAACGAAGAAAGAGAAGGAAATTATTTTTTGTTTTTTAATTTCATTTTAGGAATCGAAAAAAGCATTTTTACACTTAGTTGTCAATGAAACAGATGATAAAGAAAAATTAGAACAATTTATTAAATTTTTTGAAGATACTATTTTTGAAGTAAGATAATGAAACATTATCTAATCTTATCATAGAGGTTTTCTAGAGAATCTTGACCTAATCAACTTCTTTTTAAAGTTGAACACTTCATCAATGCAGATATGTTGGTTCTTTCAGTATGTTTTAATCCAAAACCATGTTTTCCCGTTTAGGAACATTGAAGAAACTGAATTAGAATAGTCTATTGTAAAAAATTCATTTTATTTGTTCGATTTTATAATTAAGATGCATCATGCAATTGCTATTACTGATGAAGAAGATGATCAAATACATCGAACAGTGAAATCTTCAACTATTGAACCAAATATTTTTCATAAAATTTTATGGACTAATAATAAAAATTATAAAATATTAATAAAAATAAGAACAGCTATATGATATTCAATTCACCACGTGATATTTCGGTATCTATACCAGATACCAAAATCAGACGTAACCAAATAAGAATACACTTCCATTATACCAGATTCAAAGAACCTAATATTTTATAATTTTTATTATTAGTCCATAAAATTTTATAATTTGTTATCGTACTTATNTTAATATATCAATACAAAAAACATCAGAATATTTTACATCTTATGAAAATCGACACAATTTTAACCGATTTAAAAAAATCTGCGATTGTTCGTCAGTTTTTTGGCGATTCTTTGCATATAAGTTTCTTCTAAAAAATATTCTTACGAAAAGATTAACTTGCTTATTGTTCTATTTACACCGATTGTAAAAATAACGAATCAAACTTTGTTAAGTCGTTCCACATTTTCATGTTTTTTAAACTTGCTCATTCCACATTTTTAACGACAATAATACCTGCTGGAGATAGAATTCATTTGTGTTTTTCAATAATCCAACCAAATCGGACTGATATTAATGGACAAAGTTCTACATCTACGATTAATAAAAATGGTAGATTATGATTGTGGAACATGATCTGAAAGGAATGTTGAAATGTATAGGGTAGAAATTTTGCACTCACTCCCTCCCCTCTCGCACAGTACGTGACAGAGAAAATCCATACCCATCACAGGCCGTGACAGAGAGACTCTATATCCATCATAGACCGTGGCAGATGTTTGGATACACAATTTACGATATTATGTCACTAGAATCTCATAAAAACATATCAATTATTTCCTTGTTGCAGTTCTAGAGCATTAAGTGAAAAATGATGAATAAATAGGGCCCAATGTATATCGAAGAAAACCATATTGGTGTGACTAGTAACAACAGCTACATTGTGTTTCACATTTTAATCCCGAAGGAATTGCGCTAACAGCCTTTGACTATAAATTGTAATTTACCAAGTCAGTCCATACATTAAAGTCAAATTATCCATAGTCATTAATTTGTGATGAACGAATCGATTTATTAAAACAGATAGAATCAGAATATTTTCTAATGAAATTCCAATGAAAATCAATGAATAAACAACAAAAACAAACAACAAAAATTTATTTCAAGATCAGAGAATCATTAATTTGTGAAAAAAATCAGTCAAAATTGCTAGAAACGATACAATAAAGGAATAATTCATAACTAGAGATGTGTAAGACTAACAAAATAAAAGTTCACTGGGATGAGGAGAAAAAGAAGTTGTTATCAAGTTTTCTGTAGCTTTTAGTAAATACTGTTATAAATCACATTATTTACTGACGGAATTCATAATGCTAAGAGTAGTTAAAACTTCTTAAAGATTTTAATCAACTAAATTCTGAAGAATTTTTATTTAGATCGATATTGATTATACAATATATTTCTGAGATACACAGTTCATTCCATGATACTATACCACCTCATATCTAGAACACTCTGTCAAATTATAATGATATATTTAGATTTACATTAACAGCAAATAAATGTATATGTACTATTTAAAAATTAAAAATTCTTTTCTTATATAGTTAGGTTTACAATAACAAGAAATCAATGTGCAAGTGATGTTTCATAAAAATTAATTCTTTTCTTATACATTTAGTTTAGGTCTACTTCAAGGAGAAATCAATACGTAAGTCATACTTAAAAATTAAATTATTCTGTTGTTGAGAATTTGAAAGTGTAATTAATGCAGTGATAAGTGCCATTATAAATAATACATAAATATTCACAGTGCTAAAGTATTTTTCATTGAACGTTTTCGAACGACTTTTTTAGTAGAATTTTCTGTCAGCTAGAAATCCCTTTATTGGTTTACAAGAAGACTAATTGTTCTAGAGTATATACCGCTTAAATTGCTTCAATGGCTAAATCTCTACACCATTAGATTATTGTACCCTTAAATTGCTATGCCGAGACAATTTTTTTTTTGTGTTGACAAGTTGATTCTTTTTTAAAGGAAATAATTTTGCTACAAAATCAAATTTTTCATTATATATCGACCAGAGATGTGCACCGCTCGCGCTCTAATGTGAAATCTGACTCATATTTTGACGGTCGCATCGCTGAAAAAAATTTTGAGCGCGATGATGGCACGGCCGCACCCAGATCATATTAGCTGCCAATTTTTTTAAAGTCGCATCTCGAAAAACAATGTCAGTTTTAATGTCTTCGGACGACATCTGTGAATTTTTTATGCTAAATTAAAAGTAAAAAAACAAAGTGGCAACACAGGATAATTATTCTTAGGAGAAACCAAATTTCATTAAATTCTACTCCTAATAGTTCTTAATTGTCTGAACATCGTAGTTAATACACGTTATAGGCTACGCCATTATATCTTTTTCCTTTTTCTTTCAAGTCTTGTCGTCACACATACTAGATATGTTGTTCGTTGCGATTGTCTATTTCTCTGAAATAGTATATCGTTCTATTGGGGTGAAGTTTTGTCCGTCTACATTGTCACTCTGACATTTATTCTTCTCTTTGTGTTTCTACCTTTTTTTACAGATGTATAGATGTATTTGTCTATATATTTTAGACCTATAAAAGTCTCTTCTAGTATTAATTAATTCACTCTTTCTTTCTTTTTTTATAATATTCATCAGATTTTCTGTCTATATTAACAAGTAAGGGAAAGTATTGATCCTTGTGATTTTCTAGATTCATTGGATCTTATATAATATTCCATTATTTATTATATTGATTTCTGAAAATCTTTAATATGTCGGATGATGGTAATAACCAGTCAATTATTGAATTGTCATGTGTGAATGACAGTAGTCCATCAACGTCAATGAACAACCAATTGTTATTTGAAAAATTAGACAAATTGATGAAAAAGCACCTCACCAAGTTATGAAAGTAAAAGATCATATTCAATATGTATTAAAAATGAATGTAGAAGAATTAAAAGTATGATAATGCTTTTAAAAATTGACAACTTCTATGTCTGTATAATTGAATTTCTAGATTGTGCCTCCAAATAAATAACAGCCACGACAATACTCAGCTGATTGGTATCTCAAATTTGATGAATTTTATCCAAAGAACCATAAGATGTAAATTAATCATGAACTTGAATTTACCATAATTTAAGTGTAGAACAAATTAATACAGAAACCAGTGACATATCAGTATCTATATCTAGTTAAATTTTGTTAAATTGAGTATATTTTTAAGGTTCTGTTACTTGTGTAGTTTTGTTCATAGGTAATTGTCATGAAATGAAGCATTATTTATAAAGAAATGCTAGTGCAATAAAGTTGCAAAAAGACTGAGAAAAAAATTCTCCAGGTATCATAAGCGGCCACACCGCTCCTCAAAGAGGTTTGTGGGCGGTGGCCGCCTCCACCACTGCATTAAGGTTTACATCGTCTTCCACGCCGCTCCCGCCTCATTTTTTAGGCGCGGTGCGCATCTCTGATATCGACTTCGCTAGACTGGATGACAGGCCGAATATGATCAATAAAACTGATATGTTAAGAAAAAATATTCTATTTTTTCTAATATAATATCTTCATTTTAGCTCACATTTAATCAAAATATTTCTTTCAATATTGCTTAAAAGAGTATATGGAACTCAAAGATGTCTGACTCTAATATTTTTTATGCTTATCGAGTCAGTGAACGTATCGAATATAGATCATGAAATATTTTTCTTTTAAATAAATTTCTTCAAAACTGTATTTTTCTACTCAACATAGTTAAACATGCTTTGAAGGAGGAATTTTTTTAGCCAATAGAGTAACATAATATTATCAGTGATATTAGTATTAAAGAAATATTTCAGGCTATGAATTAAAAATATGTTTGAAAAGCTTACGTTTTGCCACGTAAATTGTTTCTCGTCTCTGTGCTTCCCACTCTCACACTATCTTTTACATTGTTACACGTATCATTCTTTTGTTCTTTTCTTCCAAATTTATTTTCAAAACAAAAGGCGAACAGAACACTGATATAGAAGTGTTTGGAGAAGATGATACGAAAAGAAATACCAGCATAATGGATGTAATACCATGACACATAACGAAAGCATAGCTTATGCCAGGAAAGATATATTCTGATATAAGACGCATTCCTTCTCTCTCTTTTGTTCCCCATATGTGTTGGCCATAGTCATTTAGTCAAAAATTTATATTCAAACTAATAGCGCTCATTTTTTCGTAAAACTCAATTACAAATAATTAAAAAGATGTATGTATATTTTTTTAAAATTATCATGCATTTGCCACACAATACAGTTGGCATTTTTGATAAGTGATTAAATCTTATATTTTATTTTCGTATTCAGGGGTGGTACAAAGAGGTAAAAGCAGGGAGACTTTGACAATGCGAGAAAATGTGAAAAAAACATCTCGAATAGGTGCTTATAAAAATCTTAATAAATAAGCAACCGAAATAATTATATCATTTATTCGTTCATATAGAAAAAAATCTTCGTGGAGACTTTTCTCACGAATGGACAGTCGTCTGTATATCTACTTATGATACACTTTTCCAGAAACAAATCGATATTTATATATTTACTCCAAAGAATATTACTATGAACTGATGAGGTGACAAAATTTATATATCAATGTCCTGTTTTCTTATTGTTAGCTATTTGTTACGATAATCATTTAGGATGCATAAGAAGCGGGGCCATTCCTTGTGTCAACAACAACAAAAAAAGACAAGTTACAGTATAATTCTACCAAAGTGGTAGAGAATTTTTGCCAGACTTTCTCTCAAATTCGAAGAATTTTACACGAGTTTTCTTTCGAAAATAAGATTTTGACTAGATTCTGTCAAAAAATACGAATCTGTACAGTTAATTATATACATAAAATGAAAAAGGGAGGAAGAAGAAGAAATAGGTTTTAAAAGTTAGACACTACTGGTCGAAACGAAAACAGGAGGAGAAATAATATACTAGTTATCAGAATTTTACATGTTTTCATCCGTATCTATTATTTATTGGATTCTATTGTATTTTTTTATATAGATAATATGAATAATCAACAATTGAACAAAGCACAAGCCGTTGTACACGATGTATTATTTCCTTTCTAAATATAGGCGTTTATGAATAAAAAATTCTTTTTTAATTATTATAGTTTGACGCGCATGCAACATAATTTGTTATCTTAGAGACAACAAGTATGTCTAGAGAATTAACTGCTCAAGAAGCCGACGATTGTGAAAGTCATTATGTTTATATAAACGACAATAGAAATAATTATAGTAAGTATTTTATAAATTTTACCGCTTCTTAAAATATTATTTTTTTTATTTTCTAGATAATGCACAAGCCATTTTGCAGCAGCATCAACAACAACAATAACAACAGAAGCAATAGCAAAAGTAGTGAAGATGAGTGTTTGTAGTGTAGTGAGAGTGAGTGTGTGTTATTTTGATGTTTTAATAAATTATGGCTTAATAAAATAAAAACTGTTAAAATGTTAAATTTCTTTAGTTGCTTGCAAGAAATAAACTGTTTGAGACCTTGCAGATAATCCTTACCAAGAAATGATAAGTTTTCAAATGAAAAAGAAACGAAAAAAAGTAATTATGTGGTATTTGTCTTGACAGAGAAAACTTTGCACAAACGATATAGTGTTTGCTTTTTTACAAATAAAAATATATTGTTGAGTGTGTGGTCTGTGACTGTGCGTGTGTGGGTGGGTGTGGGATGTGACTGTGGATGTGGCTGTGCGGGTGTGGATGTGTGGATGTGTGTGTAAGTATAGGTATGTAGTGAAGAGAAGAAAACCATCCACACCCTCTTCTCTTCACTGCATACCTATACTTACACCCACACCCGCTCACCCACACCCACCCACCCACATCTACTCACCCACACCGACCTAGCTACACCCAGACCCACATCCACTACCACCCATCCACACCCACACCCAAAAATATATTTTTATTTGTAAAAAAGCAAACACTATATCGTCTGTGCAAAGTTTTCTCTGTCAAGACAAATACCATATAATTACTTTTTATTCTTTTTCATTTGAAAACTTATCATTTCCTTGTAAGGATTATCTCCAAGGTCTCAAACGGTTTATTTCTTGCAAGCAACTAAAAAAATTTAACATTTTTACAGTTTTTATTTTATTAAGCCATAATTTATTAAAACATAAAAAAAACACACTCACTCACCACATCACCCATACCCACTCACCACACTCAAACCCAGTCATCTACCCCCACACCAACATCCAAAAATAACAATCAATAGGTAGTGCTTTCATATCATTTTTGAAACCTCGATCAAGCACGATCTACATAAATCAAATATATTTTCTCTTTAATTACGAAGAGATATATTACTTCGATTCGTGATGTTTCTGATTGATATTTTGTATATTTAATTGTCATTCTTTAAAAAGAAAATAATGAAGAATCATACAAAAAATTAATAATAAAACTTGCTCATGTTGAGCAGCGAAACATGGTTGACACTGTCGATGACCACACTTTGTGAATTGTACAGGATCTCGTACTATCAATGAACACGCAGAACAAATATATTCTGTATCAAGAATATGTTTATTTTTGCATAGAGACCTACCATGATTTCAAATTAAGCACTCTAAAATGAACTTTTATTTCTAGTTAGACTTGAAAACAATTTTCTATTTGTATGATTTTGGTTTGTTGTCTTTTTCGTTGGTCTACGTATAAATAGAAAAAAATTTCAGGCATGTCTAAAACCATTTAAATAGGTTACTTTTTTTTTAACGAGTGAACGAATAAAAATAATGTCTTGAAATAAACATATATCAAGAATAATGTATCTAGGATTCAAAAATCAGTATTAAAATACAATAAATATTTGAGATTTTCAAAATGAAAAAAATTGACGAGTTTGAAATAGATTTATTTACTACTATTATTTCAAGCATTTCGTTCTTATCGAAGCCTTTCTCTATATCCAATTGAGTTCTATTTAAAAAAAAAAGAATTCAATTTATATGCTGATTGATGCTATGACAATGATTTAGTGTTTGATTTGTTTCATAATAACATTCGTCAGTTGGAAATTTTCTCATATGTTTTTTGTGTACTCAAAAAGTGAGTACACTACTAAAATCGGTCAGTGTGTCCGGCCGTCCGTCCGTATACACGATAACTTTTGAAAGGAGAGTCCGATTGCGATGAAATTTTCTACACAGTTCAGTCTCAACAATATCTCGGTCGAGTTCGAAGATGAGAAGGATTGGCCGAGCCGTTCCTGAGTTATTGCAAAAATACTCATTTTTCCCTATGGCTTCCTATAGAAAAATCGACCTATCTCCACATTCGTAAAAAACTTTTCCTATCATAGTCAAATGAAACCCCAACTATTATACACCGTTCGATAGAGAATTTCACGAGCTACAAAATGGTATATAAAGCATTAAAAATTGAGCTGAAAATTTTGGGCCAAGGAAAGGGTTTTTTGAGAAAATAGCGATATTTTATAAAGGTTGGCGAAAGCAAATTGGGGTCCAGGAATCTGAATCTGACGTCAGATTTTGAAAATCTTGAACTCCATTTTTTGGGTGAAAGGAAGGGTTTTTTAAGAAAATAACGACATTATATAAAGGTTGGCGAAAGCAAATCGGGGTCAAGGAACCTGAAACTGAAGTCAGATTTTGAAAATTTTGAACTCCGTTTTTTAAGAAAATAACGATACTGTATAAAGGTTGACGAAAGTAAATCGGGGTCGGTGAATCCGAATCTGAAGTCAGATTTCGAAAATTCTGAACAAAAGTTGTTGGGTTAAGGAATCGTTTCTTCACTTTTTGAAGTACACATAACACTCGGATTTAAATCCGAGGTTTCCACATTTATTTATGTTAGTATAGAACATTAAAATATTGTATCTGGAGTTTAATGGTTGATGAGGAACAACAAGGTACACAAGTAGTAGAACGAACTTTCATCGGACGTTCGAGGTGTTATTTTTATTTTTAATTTTAGCTTTGATTAGTCTTCTTCAACATGGTTTTGAAAATAATGAAGATCTAATAGCAGTCAATGCATTTGGAATTGTTCTTAATTTGGATACAGAAGCAAAACATAGGTATATAAAGATATAAAACAATTCATTGATTATCATTCGCATGATCTTTATTTTAAACGTTTTATAATCTGTTTACCTGATCAACAAATAAGTTTAATTGTAACTGATAGTACTCGAATGATTGATCCTCATCGTAAATCTTCAGTTATGAATACTATTGATTCATCATCAGGACCATATTTACCATTATCATTTATAAGTATAACTACAGCAACATAAATACCACAGAATATAATCAAAAAAACTAAACATGCAGTCGAAGTAAAGTTTTATATATAACGGCTGTTGCAAAAGTTCCTGAAAAAAAGTCAAACCATATATCTCCGCTAGAGTCCTGCAGGGTAAGGTTTTTTCGTACCCTAACCCTACCCTAAAACAATTTTCGTGCCCTATGCCCTACCCTACCCTACAAACTTTCACCCTAGCCCTACCCTACCCTACAACTTTTCACCCTAGCCCTACCCTACCCTACGACTTTGCACCCTAACCCTACCCTACCCTATTAGGGTAGGGTAGGGTAGGGTAGAGTAGGGTTACCCTGCAGGACTCTACTAGCTGTTTAGTCTTTTAAATCAGATAGATATCACAAGTGTCATAGAAATTAGTTGACCAAAAAATCTTAGTACCATAAATGGCATTCTAGTTCTATTTTAAATAGTTGTTGCACCGCCTTTACCATATTCTACTCTAAAGTTTGTTACCCTCACCCTACCCTACCCTACGCTTTCTTACCCTAGCCCTACCCTACCCTAACGTTTTCTTACCCTAACCCTACCCTACCCTACCCTACCCTAATAGGGTAGGGTAGGGTAGGGTGGGGTAGGGTTACCCTGCAGGACTCTAATCTCCGCCATTCTAAAGGCTAGAAGTCCTAATTTTTTTTTTATTTGAAAGAACTTATCGTCCTCTACAAAAAACGTTTAATGACAAGTTGAAAAAATGCCATCGGTATACATTTTTCGGAGGTTTTTCGAACATTGTCCATCATACGTTGTAAAACTGATGTGTCAACTTCTTTCAATTTTTTTTTATCCGACGTTCAATTTATTTTACAGTATGTGCTTCCCAATTTTTTTCGTATACTAATCCAGCCAAGACACCCCAAAAATCTTCAATAGGACGCCCTTGTGGTACATTAGGTGAATTATTGATTTTTCGTACGATTGGTACAGATACTGATTCCAAATAATTATGATGGACAATGTTCGAAAGAACCTCCGAAAAATGTATACCGATGGCATTTTTTCAACTTGTCATTAAACATTTTTTGTAGAGGACGATAAGTTCTTTCAAATAAAAAAAAAATTAGGACTTCTAGCCTTTAGAATGGCGGAGATATATGGTTTGACTTTTTTCCAGGAACTTTTGCAATAGCCGTTATTCATTTGAATGCTGGCCATCATTTCTTTTTCTTTTTTTTCAAGGTCAATACTCAAGTTGAATATCAACAAAAACGATCATCAGCTAATATCAATAAGATAACAAACGAAGATGATAATGCCACATCTTCAGAACTACCAACACGAACAAATTTTGGAAAGAAAGCTCTGGTAAATAAAGTCTTTAAAAATGTTTTCTTTTGTTCAAAATATTCAATCGAATACATTGAGAAACCCGGTCAAGAATAAATAGCTAGAGTACTTTGTTTTTTATAGTCAACAACTATAGGATAATGTTGCTAGCAGCTTTAATTGATATGATTATATTTTAAAATAGGCATTAATGGCAAGAAATTATCATACATTGAAATTTATAGCTCTTTGTCCGACTTCATGTAACCTCTTGTAGGTAATGCCAGTATCTGCAGTTGTTGGTGAATCAGCTTCGTCTGATGATATAGAACAAGGGGATGAAGATGAAAATGATAATGAAATAATGGTAATGGATCCAAGAAAATATTATAGAATGTATTTATTACGAGCAGCTGCATTTTTACATTCATCAATTGCATTTTTAATGATGATTAGTTATTATAAATTAAAAGTAGAAATATTTTCATTCATTTTTTTAAATAACAATTTGTTTATGATTGGTTTTCTTTTTTTGTGTAGGTTCCATTAGTTATATTTAAACGAGAAAAAGAAATAGCTCGAAAACTAGAATTTGAAAGTGCTTGATTAATTGATCAACCAAGTGAAAATAATTCATGGATATTATCATATCTATCATGTCAATGGCATAAACTTGTTATTAGTTCAAAATCATTTCCTGATTCTTATTAGAATAAATTTGTTAAGAAAAAAGTTCGAAATAAATATTCCGATCAATTTGATTATGATGAATTAAGTCGATTTTGGGGTATGGAAAAAATGATACACTCGGAAAATTTGAAATTTTTCCACCAGTTGAAACCGGTTTATGGACAAAGTATATATATATAACAAAAAAAGAAACAATAGAGATTAATAAACTATTGTATTTCTTTAATTTAGAATTAAACATATTGATATGCGTTATCAAATTTGAAAATGGGCTGTTATCTTTACTGATAACGTAAGTCACAGATTAAAAGATTTAATTAGAACCTTAATGAAAACATATTTAAAATATTAAAGATAAGAAAAGACACTTTTTTGCAATAGAGAAATAAATCAAACATAATTCTACTGCAAAATATGTATTCTAATGAATATATTTAGTATGAAGTATCTGTATGCAAGGACTGTTTTCATCAGCATACTCTAGACTATAGTTTGCTAAGAATCATATTACTATATCAGAACCGATTAGGTATCCAATTGAGTGCTTGTTCAATTTGTTAAGCATTGTATGAAAAAATTTTTCAGCAACTTAGTTGATGAAACATTTAGAATCCATCACAGTAGTTTCATTATAGTAAGTGATAGAACCTATAAGGATAAGGAAGATTTCAGATGTTTATGATTCGATTTTCAAAGAAATCTTCATAGTATTCTTATTGTTTCTATTTCTGTTTAGTCATTTCTCTATGTTTTCTTCTACTTTTTATTATCAATAATTGGTGATTTCACATTTTTTTGTCTTTACAATAAGTGTAAAAGCTTTAAGTACAATATTAAAATCTGTAACACACAATGGTCGACAAGTAACTATATCTATTAAAAATAGTTATTTCTTTTTTGGATCCATTTAGTTTTCTCTATATTTTAGTTACTTTTAACAATAATGTTAATGGCTATTGTCGTTTGTCTTTTATACAGTGATTGCATTTTATTTTTTTCATAAATTCTATACGAAAGAAGACGGTGAAGAACGAGAAGAAAATTGTAAAGATATGTTTACCGCATATCATTTATAGTCTTGAACAAAAGTAATTGACATCAATCAAATTCTATTACTCTTTAAAATCTAGAGTTTTTTACTTTCAATAGATGGATTCAACAGGAAATTTTTCGAATGTTCATGTGTTTATTTTTAGTGTTTTAAATTTCATTTTTAGGCGGGTATTCGAGCTGATGGTGGTAGTACTGATGAACTTGAGTTACGTAATGGTGATTCACTAGAATTATATCGAATTGTTTTTGATATAACGTTAATTTTCTTTATTATTGTCATTCTTCTTCCGATTATTCGAGATAATATTGAATCGAGAAATTTTTTTTTTTTGTTTCATATGTTCAATAATAATGTTTTAGGTTTGATTATTGATGCTTTTGATGATCTTCGTGAACAACTTGATTCAGTGGAAGAAACACTTGAAGTAAAACAGAGTTTTTTTCTTTTGTTCTGTGTTTGTATTTCAGTCAAAATGTTTTAATTGAGGAATTGGTCAAGATTATTTTGATAAAGAACCGCATGGTTTTGAAGTAAGAACAATTGACTTGGAGCAAAGCAAAAACAGAATATCGAATTTTCTATTTTAGACTCATACATAAGCAATACATAATTTTGCAAATTATATGTTCTTTTTAACACATCTTCTGAATAAACCTGATATAGAAGATACTGGACAGGTGTTATTGTTGTTATTTGATAAAATTCAAAGTTACATTTGGGAAATGTATCAAAATCGTAAATGAGATTTTTTTCCTACTGGTGATTGTTTTCGACGACAATATGAATTGGGTAGTGGTGGAACAGCTACAGAAAGATAAGCAAGATTCATATATATAATCTTGTTTATTGCATCGGTGATTTATTTGAATGGATTTTTCAATTTATTTAGGCATCTATATATATATTTTTTTTTGTATTAATGCAAAACTTTTTTTTCATGATTTCTATGGAGTTCTGTTCTTTTTTTTTAAATAAATATTTCAATGGATTTGAGTGTGATGAAAATTGATTAGTTTTAAGATTTTAATGGAAGAAAATTTTCCATGGCGTACTTGTTTAGTGCGAAAACTCATTTCCCATAGTGAATTTCTCTTTAAAGTTGATCTCACTTAAAAAAAACTGATTGCAAGTCTAAAATTCAAGCTACGGTGCTGAGAATGAGAGTAGATGAAAAATTCAGATTCTACCACGCTCTAAAATAGAGAAGAGGATATATGGAGTCCATCTAGATCCTATGAACAAGTACACTTATGCTTTCATCATATAACCATAGATATTTCTAAGAATAGACTCCAAAGTCATTATAAAAGATTCTCATCCAGAACCTAAGAATAAGAAGAAAGAAGAGGAAGCTAGCACAATTGAGAAAGTGCAAAAGTTCATGATCATCAGAATTTTTTTTCAATTATAATGGGAGGGTATTTGCATGTACATCATTCATCTCTTAGCATCTTTTCGCTTTCGGTACTGTTTCTTGCCGTTTTCTCTTTTTCTTTATTACTACCCTTACTCGTTTAAATCATCAACGAATATCTACACCAAGACCATATAGCGTAAGCTTTGATACCTCCTCCTTCACAATAGGAGCTCCCCTAGAGAAAAAGTCTGCCAAACGTAGTAGAAAACCCCCTTTATTTAATTCATTTTTGCTAATTAAGAACTTCATGTAGTGCATTTCTGTGAAAATATGTCCAGATTTTAGGATTTTTAGTGAAGAATCTTAATAAAGTGAACTCAAAATTATTCCTAACTCTTTAACAGCCTCTAAATCCCTGTGAAACTCGTGAAAGTCGGAGTGAGTGTGGGTATAAGAATAGAGAATATTTACGTCCGCACCTATCCCTACACCCTGAAAGTGTTGAATCAAGTAGCTAATACTAGCTTTCTTAGATTATACAAATATTTGGACCATTCGACTCATGATTATCTCTTAATATTTGTAAACTCAATACGTAATTAATAAAATGATAGTACCTTGACAAAATGTATTCCAACGGTAAGTTTTTCATGACGAACTTCAATTGAGAAGGAAAAACTACTGTCATGAATTAGAATCTCTGACTTGCTAATGTTACAGAAAATCTAGTAAAATGTTAATTTATGAAATTAGAAGTATACTAATTTAATAATAGAAGTATTGCTGTTTCTTCTATTTATTCCACTAAACTGTGTCCATGTGAACATATTTTCCATACTTTTAATAATCCTAACCGAAAACGGCATATTTTTATAACATGCATTAAATGTGGCAGCATATTTAACTTACGGTAAATCTTTGTTCTAAAATTCAGTATTTCTACTCCTACACTGATGTCTAGATACTGTACATTTTTATCTTTCTTTAGCTCACGTAAAAGCTTCTGTTTCTAAAATATATATCATCTTCAAATCTAAATTATAATACACTTTTCTGTATTCTGTCATACAAAAACTCGCTTAAATGTGTCTACATTCTGATTGCATAGATTCTCTTGTATAATCTTCTTAAAGTAAACATCATTCTTCATCCTAACGTTAACTGTTAAACAAAATATGTCTTCTCTAAAAACTATTGAAAACCTGCTCCCGTTGTTCTAATTGGTATTAATTCATTAATATGCTTTTTTCCATTGTCACCTAACATCGCACAAACGACTAACTTAGTTTCTTGTTGCTATATTTTTGTTTATTAATTTATGTATAAAATAATCTGTTCTGCTAGTGAATGTTTTTTTTTGTTAAATATTTCGAAAACTCTATAATGTTCCTTAAATTATATGGAGTGAGATAATTGGTCTAGATCATTCATCTATTTCACGATCTTTTCAATTAATATAAAGATGTGGTAACTCGACTGCTGCTGAGTTTGGTTTTAATGTTTTAGAAAAAATGCAATCACCAAAATCCTTGGTTAAGAATTTAATAATAGACTTTAAAAAAGTAAAATAATAATAAAAGTGCAGATACTCGATGTTTATTCGCATTTTGCTTTAGATACATCAAAGATAAATTGTGGCAACTCGATTTTTCTACTTGTAGCTGTTTTGAACGGTTTTTTGTCAAGCATTCATGTTTTATTTTTTGTAAAAATCTTACCATTGAAGTACGTTGTTTAAAAGAGTATTAGAGTGTCAGAGATATTTTTTTCATTAAAAAGAATAATACTCTTACTTCAACGAAAGATGGACAATATACGGATAAGACAGACCTATAACAGGACAAACAATTTGCTAGCTATTCATACATTGTGAAGAAAATTTGAAATATGTTATTTATCAGAATTATTCTACTGTTATGAGTAGTACTCTTTCTTTACCTTGCTCGGTAACGTGAAGTAGATCAACTTCATTTTAACCGACAAAGTACTTCAAATTCATTTTACTCGGTAAAGCAAAATTGAAAAACTTTGCCATATAACTTTATTTCATCGATTAAATGAAAACTAAATGGCTTTCTTTATTTTTTAAAGTAGTTGAGTATAAACGTTCATTAGATATTTGATATCTGAGGAAGAAAATATTTGTTTGAACTGATGTTTTTGAACTATTCTAATGATCGTAGACTCATCAACAGTTAGTCGAGAGACTGAAAACGACCATAGTTTTGACAGAATAGCGTATGAGAACTGGTAATTTTATGATTTTTTTAGTTTCACTGAATTCCTCTCAAACTCTCAGTATAGGTTATATTAATTTTCAGTAAGACAATAGATGTAGTGAGAATGAGTAAGTATGATCTGAATAGATCAATCATATGCATCTCAGCATGTTTATTCCTAGTCAATTAGAACATATTGCATATATGTCTGTATTTCTGTCAAATATATCAGTTGTAGTTGCTTTCTTCGATGGTCCAGTTCAATATTAAAAAGTCCTGAATACATCGGTGCAGGCCAGATATGCTATTTTTTCAACAATGTACAGACGTCATCGTGTCGGCACTAAGCTCATTGATAGTTTTCTTCAATTTTCAATATTAGAATGAAATGTACCTATCTTGGCTAAAACTTTAGGATTCTGCCAGAAGAAAGCAGCCTATTTATGTGTAACACTTCGAGTGGAAATCTTTTCTGAAATATAGAAATTCAGTATGATGATTATATTTTCGATGTGCATGTTTCCTTTAGATTAGGTTTAGTATTTTAGTAGCTAGTCTTGCTGAGATTTGACATCAGAGTAGAACTATATAATTTAAACAGAAACTATAGATCTCAGTGTCATTAGTCGCACTTGGGAAGCATAAGATTTAATAGAGAGAATGTGAGAGAACAATTGATTGTAAGAATAAAAGCAAAATATGTAAGTTGTTTTTAGAAGAATTTCTTATTTATTAGTGCATATATAAAATGGATGTGTGTTTCTTTATTTATTCTTATTAGAACGACATGAATCTCGAATATACAGTAACAGAAACTGTGTATCGTGATCATTCAGGACAAATGCTCAAAATTGACTTTCAGTTCAATGAATCTGCTACGATAGTCTTAGGATCAACATCGTCTATTACGAGTCGACAAAACCAAGAAAAACGTTATCGATCATATCACTGGAGCATAACACGCGATCAATATGAATCAAGAATCAATAGACTTCAGAAACCAATAACATTTGATGCTTTCATTGATTCTCTACGTCCGATCATTATGGGTTATTATAAAGATAATGAATTGGAACGTGCATTTGCCATTTTAGATAGTGATCAATCAGGAACAATTAATATCAAGGAATTTAGTACCATCTTATTGATTCTCAATGACTCGATCGATGCCAATGTTTTGTCTGAATATATAAAACAAGTAGACGAAAATTTCGATGGTGAATTAAACTATGAAGAGTTTCAGGCATTGGTACTACGTGGCATTGGTCGAGATATCATTTGTAATCATTTTTGAATGTCTCTATCCGTGTACAAATACAAAATAAAGGATACAAAGTTCTGAATTATTTTCATTCTTTAACAATTATTTTTAAAATATGTCCGTTCAATTCATCGCATCTGTTTTTTGCACTTGGAATTCATAGGATTATTTGGGTGTGAGTGTTGGAATGAGAGAAAAAGAGGCACCCACGCCAATAGCAACTTATTGCAATGCATCAGATTTCCTATAGGATATCATCCTTAATTTTCATACTTTTGATTAATAGAAAGAACAGTAAAATAAGCTATTTTTTTCGAACCTTACTCCAAAAAGATAACTAGTAGTTTGATTAAAAGTTCAACATTTTTTGTAAGGTATTGTTTAACATAAGTAAAAGATAATATTAATGTTATTAATAGATATTTGAATGTTTGTCTACATATAAATGAGTAGTTATATGTATAAGGAAGTAGTTACCACTTCGACTTAATGAGATTGGAGTCAGCAATGGAAATCTCGCCAATAGAGAACCGCTTTTGAATCGAGACTATATGCGTTACATAAATTCGATCGACTGGGAGATATTCTGAAAAGAGTTCATGTCTTCAGCGTGTTACTGCTGTATTATAGTTGTCTTAGAAAATAATGAGAAAATTCATTTCAAAAGTTATACTTAAAGGCTTCCATAAGATCAGATCTTAACGACGAGAACGAATCTTTTCTATTTAAAATTAATTTGTTCTATGAATTTATTTAACTCTTCACTAGGTAAATCAAATTCCAATAGCTGTCGTTTATGAATAGCCTACGCATATGTTGAACTTAATGCTTTGCAATTTCTCCTCATTTTCATTCAAATATTAGCTACTACAAATAACTTTCTATTCTTTATTCTAGAAAAAATATTAATATATTTCTCTCAAGTAGATATGAAAGTCTTATACTAACATTGTGGCGAGTAAATTAATAGTGAGACTAAACAATTGTATTATATGACAATAATGAACTATTATTTCCAATTTGGAATCCTTTTACAAATGTCTATAAGAAATTTCAAAGAAAAATCTGAAATACTAATGTCCATTTCAGAGATAAGTGGCCGTGGACATTTTTCGAATAACTCCATAATAACAAAAGATAAAGAGCTGATATTTTAGTACTATCTAGAGTCGAGGTTACTCTATCTTTTCATAAGGTC